AATTTAGCTTTTCCGCTGCCCAGGCCTCCTTTTACGGAATACTCGATGACAGGTGATCTCTGAGTTGACCGGTTTCCTTCGATTCATTTGCTTATGCTCACCCTTTCATTTACGGAAACGTGTGCTGATTTTATTCGGATTTAGATCCATTTTTATCTCTTTGCCCTTGTCTACAGTGTGCGAAGAACGCGAGTTCACCTTCTTGACGGTGAGGCTTATGTTAGATGTGTTGTCGAAATACTCATATTCATTGTACATTGGTACGTTACAAGTAAGGCACTGGTCAGTGGCATACTATCGTTGGCAGTTCCCAATCTGGAGGGAAAGGTTCAAGGACCCATTGACCGAGTTTGCAAAATAAATTCGCATATCAGGGAACATCTCCATTGTGGAGAGTTTCAGTAAACTTATTTGCTTCATACGAAACAAGTCAAAGGGTGCAGTCTCGTCTCGTCAAGATCTCGTACTTGTATGTTTGGATTTGTTTACTCGAGTCTGGGCTGTTTGATTTATTATTTGTGAGTTACGCCGAGATTGCACTGCCCCAAATGAAGTTTCGTGCCGCCAAAGCAAGAATTACGATCTGCAAACTGTTTGTAGTACCTGCAAGAATGTGGAGTACATGTATCGTACTTTCTCTGTTGCTGTTTCAGTTGCCGTCATGTTGCTAAAGAAACGTTCAGTAGAGAGGTTCTGCAAAACAAAAATTCGAACGAAGTTTCGCGACAGTCCTTGCGAAAGTGTGTACGAATTTTTGCACGAAGTTTGCGTTCTGCACATTTTCGTAGTTTGCGCTGGCCAAGTGCACGTACGCCATGACCCGATCACACGAAAGTGTGTGCGACTGTTCATTTCGCGTTCCCTGCAAGTTTCGCATCCAAAGCTGCGAAAGTTCGTGCGAAGTTTCGCACCTCCTGATGTAGAGGGAAAGTTTGTACGCATTTTCGTTTTGCAGAACCTCTCTAGTGACTCATTTGTTTCATACGAGACGAGTCAATGAGTTGGTGTGGCTTAGAATCTTTCGCTGTAGAAGAAATCTATTCGTATGTCTATTGGAGAAATAATTGTATTCACTGGTTATAAAATAGGTTAAGACAAACTCACAGAATAAATACCATCGGTCCCTTGGTGTTCGTCCTAAAGAGGTTCGACTGGATATCATTCAAACTCACCAAAAGATGTGTAAGATTTTATTATTATGGAGTGCCTTGTTTATTTCTCAGTACCTCCAACCATAGCCTTGCCCCTTTTATCCTCAGGATCAGTGTAGTTGTTGGAACGATATGTCGGACTCGACAATGTATTTATTTACATTTTAATACATGTATATTGTTCCTCCTTTGCTGTGTTGTTTTAGAAAATCGTGGACTAACAGTTTGAAGTCATTGAACTACTTCCAAAAGTTGTATCGACATCAACAGGGTTACGATTTCAGTGCAATACGATGCAGGATGACCTTATCACGATAACCCATGATTACAAACCATTATAAACACAGAATCAACAAAAACATCTGCGACACGCACCTGGTTACATTTCTCAAATAAATCTGAAATATCTGAAAGGCAAGACAATTTTATGACAGAGTCATGAAATTCTGCTACAGCAACATGCACAGAATGACCTCCGTATAAAAAGAAGTATCACCACGGTCCACCACAACTCACATGTTTCCCCGCAGAAGAACATGCTTGTGCCATTTTCTGCAAGAAAAGGCTTGCACATCAATGCGTATAATACAGTATTGATATGATGTGAAGGCCATCATTTACATGTTGATATAGGGCATTCCATTGATTGGTGACAGAAAAAACAAAAGAAATTATAGCAATAAAAACTGCTTTATGGCAGTTTTCTAAAAAAAGTTATTGTGTTCTAGTCCATGGACCCCGTCTAAAAAGTAAGAAATTAACAAAATGTGATAGCTGAAAATTAAAATTTCACACAAAACCTCACAATAATCACACACAGAATGAAAAGCTACATGTAGAAGACCTTTTCCCCTCGTGATCCTCTTTCCTTTGCATGCATGACATGCATGTTGCCAATTGTTGGTGCAGTACAAGTCTAGTGTTGAAAGCAGCATTTCAAGTGTTGTGATTATTGTGAGGTTTTGTGTGAAATTTTAATTTTCAGCTATCACATTTTGTTAATTTCTTACTTTTTAGACGGGGTCCATGGACTAGAACACAATAACTTTTTTTAGAAAACTGCCATAAAGCAGTTTTTATTGCTATAATATGATTATGGTGCCTGCAGCTTCTCTGCAGCCCTCCGCGTGACCCAACTTCAGCGTCTGCAAGCCATGCAAAACCGGGCTATCCGATGCATTGATGGCAGCCCGCCATGTTCCGCGATGCAGCCCCTCCTGGCTGCCAACTCGATTTACCGCGTCACTGAACTTTTTAAACAAAAGCTCCTGATCTTCATCTGGCGTTGTCTAAATGACTCCACTAGCCTTGCTCTAGCCCAGCTTCTCAAACCAGCAGCATTCAGCGGCAGAAGTACGCGCCATCAGCATGCCAATGGTCTGCTCAGCCAGCCAGCTCGCAGTCGGTGTGGCCAAACGAGATTCGCCACCGCAGGAGCATTGCTGTGGAACAGTTTGCCTAGAGAGGTGCGCACCGTATCCAGATTGCAAGATTGCTAGCCTGCCTTCCTTATGTATGCCTGAAATAGGTTGTGTTTCGTCAGGCTTTGACATGTTCCTTTCTTCTCAGTATTCTCGCTCGCATAGTACTCCACTTCTATGATAATATTGCCTATGCTGTTGCTCATTAGGATTTTGGCAAATTCTACCCTTCGCTTTCATATAACTGGGCCAGGAACCCGTTTGAACTTGCGAAGTAAAATAAAATCAATCAATCAATCAATCAAATGCCAACGCCATTGTTGCAGTGGTACAAATCCCGCGATCAGACAGTCAATACCCACTTCGATCCGGCGGATCGGAGCGTTCAGAAGGGAGCAGTTTTACTATACTGCTTGCTTCATGACATTTTGTATCAAAACGTCCCGACGAGACGTCACGGCCATGCACAGTCTGTATCGCGGTCCACCATTGCCACCGATGTCAATGAGATACTTCGAAGTATATACTTGACTTCGACGGAGGGAAGCGCTCTGCTTGATGCACGCCCCCTGTAGGTGAATCGCGAGATGTTTCAAGGCCGCCTAGGGCCGGCGTCGTAAACTACTAACGTGACGCCGCTTGCCAGGAGGAATCAATGAAACTGTTTACACCAAATACCCGCTTTTCCCAACGCAGGAAGTTCGGGTCATCAAGAATTGAAGATATAAGAGCGTATACGTGTTTTACTGACTCAACTACATGTACAATGTAGCTGAGAGCATGAGCTCATGAGACTGCGGGATTGCACAAAATTACTGTGAGAAATGACGTCGACAGTACAATCAGAGCGTCTCAAGTGAAGTGGGATGCCGGTCTCAAGTCTTAGGTGGACTGGTGACTGGACCGATGCCGATGGCGATGAGCAAACACTGTTGTTGTTGTTGTTGTTGTTTATTTTAATTCGCAAACCAAACGGGCAGATCTGCCCAATGAAAAGGTGGCGAATGCAGATAGAAAGCAGTAATAAATGACATGTAATGGTGGAGGCGCACGGGATCGGGAAAGGATCGTACGTCGTTGCGGAGTACGAGCAGCTGTTCCCTTCTTTGCCTCCCGAGTCGCGAACGTCGCACAACCACCAAATATGGACACTGGCTGGGGCGAAATCGTTCTCTCGTCGTCTCGCGGGGCTGGTCCTACGGGTTCGGGCGTCAAAAAGGTGGCGAGGAGCGCCGCGCCGGTACGATCGCCCGGCGTGATCGTGCGCATACGGACTACGGTGTACCAGGTGTACAGTATGCCAGATGAGTTGCAATCATAAGCATAATTATTGGCAGCTTCGAAGGTACAGCGCATACTGTAGAGTGTAGTACCAGATGAACGCGATTTGGTAGCGAAACTACTGCATGCGCAAGACCAGGGAGCTCTACACACAGCAGTACGAGTACAGGGCCTACAATGTAGGGGTCGGCAAGTCATCACCGGTCATGGGACGCCAGCCTCGCCACGTACCCCCCCCCCCCCCGTATGCATGCTGAAGCGGACTTCTGGTCATCTGCTGCATTTGGGGCGCTCGTGTCCGTATCCATGTCTGTCAGCCTGTGTCAGGTCCGATCAGCGGTCATTCCCCGCGCTTGGGGAACTGTTTCAGGCTGTGGTGCACCGGTGCTCGCCGAAAAAATGTTCGCGTGGCATGCAGGCGGCGCCACACGGCCCATTGGCATTACATCTGCGTGTGCACAATGCGATGGAGGACTTCCTGACTTCCTGTTCCAGAAACAGCGTGTTCTTCGGTCGAGTGTGTGTCTCAGTCTGTGTGCGCGCGCGTGTGTGTGTGTGTGTGTGTGTGTGTGTGTGTGTGTGTGTGTGTGTGTGTGTGTGTGTGTGTGTGTGTGTGTGTGTGTGCTTCGCTGAAAGGCTCTCTACGATGCACGTCCAAGAAGTCGGCCAACAGCCATAGCCGCGGCGTTCGCTTCAGACTGCCACACAATACAAGTACTGTTTTGTGTTTTGTTGCACACTGAACGGAAGCAAAGTTTAATAGTACAAAACCTTGGCTATGGCCGGCCCTATGCTATGGGTTGGGCGGATTCCTTCACCGACACTGCGACAGCCACACAGCTACTTGTAGCCGCATTCCATACGCGTATCCCATGCATGCAGCTCTCTTCAATACTTCATGCAATCTTTGGTGTTTCGCGGGAAAATACCGACTCACGTGCGTGTCAAGTGTGGCGCGGTACGGTCAGCACTTGACGGGCACGGCACGCGCCGGGTGATCGTTTGAGGCTTGTGAGGTTGCGGAAAGAGATCTCTTCTTGAGTACACACATACACCATTGTACACGGTCCACAGGGTGAGCAGACTCGGGATCCGGCGAAATCCCGATCGATCGTACATCGTACGATTCCGAGTTGGACCGCCGGATACGCGGAATCTGTATGAACTCTACGATGTACGCATAACCCCGACTGGCTTCGCGACCCCTCATAGAGTCGTACTGCAGTGTGTGTATGCAGCCCGTGATCGGCGGTGTCGCACGCAGTACAACACTCTACACTTGCACCACAGCACTGCAAAGGACGCGCATGCTGCAGACAGATTCCTGCGCTGAACTTTTTTTGGCCGTGGACGCCGCACCCCGTCGGGATCTGCAATTATTATTTCGCATATCATAGTGCTGTAGCCTACTGTTGTGTTAGCTTCGTCCATTGCATGCTGTTGCCGTCCTGGAACCTTGCCTAGCTGTCGTACTGTCCCTGGTCGCATTGGCTTCTGTTTGACGACGGTTGAACTTTGAATCGAGGGGCTATTCTCAAGGTAAGAATGCTACGTTTCCCGAAACTGAATTGCGCGTCGAGTCTCTGCTCTTTGCGACTGATGTCTTCTTGCGCTGTGAAATTTGTCATCGCAATCGTGTGGTACAAATCCTGTAGACCGCGTAAGTTAGTTAGTTAGTTCATGAGTTATCAGAGCAGTATGTTTCTGTGTAGACTCGCATGGTCTGTCCAAAGCTCGTTGAATGAGTGACCGAGGTCGGAGAGGCGGAGGAGCGCAGATTTTGATTTTTTCCACGGGGCCGGCCTGGGTGGATCGGCGGCTCTCGGCGCATTGTCTTTTTGGACACGTGTACATTGAGACTGATGACGTCATCACTCCATATGCTGTACATAATAATAGTATTAATACAGTAAGTTGCTTGTGGTCGCTCGACGTCATTAGAAGCGATTGTACCCTATTGTAGACGTGGCTAGAAGTTGTACAGAATTGTCTGGTCGGGCGAAACATGCAGCGTTGACGATATGCCACGATAACCGCCGAATCCGGGCCCCAGGTACACTTAAAACTACATCGTCTTGAGTCGTTGAGAGTTGTATGTGCGCCATCTTGACGAACTCTCCATGATGGTCCAGGATTGAGCAGCTTGGAGAGGCTGTATTCACGCAGCATAGCACGTGTGCGGGCGATCTCTAGCGCTAGCGGAGGAACAGCAGCCGAACATGTCGGTTGCAAAATAATAATACATACTGTGGAGATTGGATATAACGAATCAAATCGAGTTTAGCGACACAATTCTGTTGCCCAAGTCGTTTAGCAAGTCCTTTCTGTACATTATGGATCGGGTATAACGACCTCGAAAATAACGACAGATCGAATTTACTGAGACTTTTTTGGTGCCCGAAGACCTGAAAAACAGTGAAAAGGTATGAGGTCAAGAGGCCAGGTTAGGTGAACAGAAAATTTAGGTACAAAGAAGCAGTGCCCTTTTGGATTATGTGTGTTAGTGTTTGTTTGGTTATTGACATTTAAGGTATGAAACAGATGAACTGAAAGTACCCGAAAATACAAATAAATACACTGAAAATGTGTAAAACTACAGTTTAAAGACTTTGTCGGGCACTACTCTGTTGTCCCGTGACACACTCGCGCATTAGTGGCAGATGCACGTCTGCTGGGACCTTCACTGGCGCTCGTTCTCGGATCCCGGAAATGGCAGTGGAGTTTCGTCACAGTGCCCTGATGCACTGGAGTGTCACTGAAGCTGAGACCTTAGGGGTCGTCGCAAAAGTTTTCTGTCGTCCCTGAAACGAACATCGTTCATTTCGTACTCGGACCCCCTCCCCTCCCTCTGAAACGAACACAGCTTGCTATGCTGGACGACGAAAATCGCATGCATGCACGTGTCATATGTACAGTGTCGGTCGACTTGCGATTTTGGCTCGCACCCCTCACCCCCCCCCCCCCCCCCCCCCCAAATGACTCATGTTCGTTTCAGGGACGACGAAAAACTTTTGCGACGACCCCATAGGTCAGCTGAGATACTCCAGTTTCACCAGCACCGCTCTGCGGCCACCTCTTCTTTTCAGAAAGGGTATCAGGAGTTGCACACTCTTTAGTAGGGGGGAGGGGGGGGGGGGGGAGTGTTATACTCTTGATATGTTACCGGTACAGTGCTACACATTTTAGTCTGGGTTCAGGAAATGTACTCCACTTTTCAATGTGTACGGATCTACACAGCTAGCCGGCCGGCATGGCATATTACTGAAACATCTTGGTACAGGATACTGTATAAGCAGAAATATTCGTCTGGAATTTAATTTCGTCTTTTTCGTCCAAGGAGGTTTTGGACTAAATTAAATGCCGGACGAATGTCGATTTGTCCAGCTTTTCAATACACTCTTATGATCCATGGACGAAATTTACAGCCGGACGAACTTCTTTGGAGTTGGACGAAATTATTGACCGACGAAATTATTGACCGACGAAATTTTCTGCCTGTACAGTATGTGTACATGTGGTACACACTCGCCGTTTAGATGTTTGTTGTACGATCTGTTCACGCGGTGATGTGTACACGGTACTACACTTTCAGGGCACTGGCACCACGCCGGTCATTCCCTGGATTTCAATGGCCACGTGATAAGTTCTAACTCGGTCTAGTTGTATTTATTTTTATTTTGCCCAAACAAGTACGAGTGACTTTGGAGGAGGATGTCAAGAGTAAAACAATATAATTATAAAAAAATTAGAAAGGAAAAGGACATATTGAAACGAGTTAAGAGTAACTCTCCACCACTGTAACTAGATACTATATACAGTCAGAAAGTGCAACAACTTTTATCATTGGCTCAATACCCGAGTTTCAAAGTACCGTAAAGTACCGTTGATCCGCCCCCTCTCTAATTCCCGCCCCCTGTCGATTTTCTCCTTGTGAAGCGACTTTGGCGTATACAACGAAATACGATGTTGAACCGACGCATGCACTGCTGTACACAATACTTGCCAATCCAGGATCGAAATGTGCACAATCCAGCACATTGAGTCTGATCCTCTACGTTGTTGTACATCGTACTGCACTTGACAGCCTTGATCTAATTCCCGCCCCCTGCCGAAAACCCAGCTGGGAAGCGACATGGCTGGGGGGCGGATCAACGGTACTTTACGGTATTAAAAAATCGAAGAAAAAAGCTGTACCCATGTACCCATGTTGTGTACAACAGTAGTAGTAGTACGCAATAGTAGACAGCCAGACACTGAATGGCCGAAGCGGACGTAAGAAATTAATAAAACACTTTAAAATTGCCATATGCTGTGATCGTGTATTCATGTACACCCCGCAATGGATGTATCCGTGAAAAGCCTTGGCAACGTCGTTACATACACACATTGTCCGTATAACTTATAAGGAAGATGCAACGAACTACTTTCGTTGTCACTTTAATTTCGTTAAATTTGTAAGGCTCCAGCCCTTTATGAAAATATGAACGTTGTTTCAAGCGTTGTGAAATTTAAAGTACCGCGAGAGCGCTCCACTTTGATTTCACAGCCAGGGAAAGGAAAGTGGCATGGCAAAGTGCAACTAAGGTTGTACGATGTGAGAACCTTATAGCTTATTGTACGAAGGTCGCACTTACCATGTTCTTGGGAGGAGCTCGCACCCACCTAGCACCTGGCGCCGGCCTGAAGGTAGACTGAGTACTGATTGACTGCCAAAGAGCAAAGTGTGTACAGACATGCTATACAACCTACTTTAAGTCTACACATGTTCGTCCCGTTTAAATTTCGGCCTCCCAGGGCTAAAACCCATTTCGGCCGCATCGAATTTTCGGCCTGTACTGCTGCCGCCTGTGTACACTGTCACACAGAACCTTGCGAAAACAAATTTTCGGCCAAACATGGCTAGGCCGGAAATAGCCGAAAATAAACAAGCGCCGAATATTTGTTGACTCACAGTACGCACAGGACATCACCTCCACAACCAACCCCGATAGGGTTGTGGCGGTGGGGCACTCTCGCTGTACTGTACCCTACAAATATTTGATAGACCCAGGGGCGCTTCCACGACTTCTTGGCCACGTCGACATGCCAGTACACTGCATTAGTAGTGCATACCGTTTTAATCAGGGAGTAGTGCTGGTATTTTACTGCTCCCTGATTTCAACTTCCAAATGGTCAGTCCGGAGCCTCATAATACCACACATATGTGTAGGGCTTCTATATCGAACTCTCTGTACTGTGCTGTGTGCACATATGTAGCAGCCTACGATCGACGGCACTAACGAAAGTCAAAATTTAGCTTTCGTGATTTAAAAAACTATTATGCAGTCATTTAATGACTGCGAAATAGTTTTTTCTCAGTTTCACATTGCTTCACGCGATGATGCTGCGGTTGAAGGCCGTATTTGAATATGGTAGCCAGCTGGCTTTGATGGTACGGTACGGGACATGTACGGGATAGCGCCAGGCATGCCCGACGCCAGAAACAAACACGCGTGCACACACACATACACACACACACACACACACACACACACACACTGTGACACACACACACACACACACACACACACACACACACTGTGACACACACACACACACACACACACACACACACACAGATACGAAATGCAGCGGTGTGGACCCTGGCTATTGCTGGACACTACTAAAGTAACGTCTTTTGTATAGTTTCGGGGATTTAAAAGTTTGTGCTTTCCCTCATTCTTGTGTTTCTATGCGCAGTGTTGTAACTCGGCATGGCAGGTGAACGGGATTTGAGACCAAAAGAGCCAGTTGCGTACTATCCTGATCCTGTTCTGTCAAGTTTGATCAACGAAGGTTAGCTACCGCGCGCGCGCGCGTGTGTGTGTGTGTGTGTGTATGTTGTTATCGAATTCCTTCGGTCGGACCCTAGAGTACTACAATCCCGTCTGCATGTTCCCTCGATCCCTTGCGACCACACACTCAAGCACCCAAATACGGCTTGTTTACAGGGAGTCTAAAAGGAGAGTAAAGAAGATCCACAACAGCCAGCATGATGCCGCGAGGTTCATGCCCTCACCGCGCATCAAAGAACCATAGCAAAAATGGCGCACAGCATGATCAGATCACATGATCATGATCTAATCAGCGATTCAAAGCGAGTGAACATATGATACTAAATTATTTGAATCTTTCGAAAATCTACGATGTGAAAACATCGGTACGTTTAGAGAATTTGAACAAGATCGAAGGAGAAGAGTGATTCCTTTGTAATGAACTGCGAATCATGCAATTCCATTACCATGTGTGTGCGTTTGTGTGCATGTGTGTGCGTTTGGGTTTGGGTTTGTGTGTGTTGTGTGTGTGTGTGTGTTTAGGTGTGTGTGTGGGGGGGGGGGGTGTTTACGTGTCTGTGGGTGCGTGTGTTGCCGCTGCAACACAACGTGATCAAGGATAAGGTAGACTAGTCTCTTACGGACAGAAACCTCGCCAGCTGTTCTAGCCCATTGCGCATAGCCAAAATATTATGGAAGGTACGAGTAATGCATGTGAGTACACTGGCATCAGCAATGCACTGTTCACTGTTCAACACCCCAGGCGACCATGCCCAGGTGGCTGCGTGGGGTGTTCATGGTACAAATTACGTCATTATAAATGGGCGTATTGTTTGTTTCGCTGTGTCTGTGTTTGCAGCTAAGCACGTGTCGACGATGACCGCCCCTGAGCCGCACCACGGCAAGCGTAGTCACCACCACCAGCAGCAGCAGCAGCAGAGTAGTAGTAATGGCACGTCGACAGGACCCACTGAGCACACGTCCGAGCGACGCAACAGCGGCAGCAGCAGCAGCGGCAGTGGCGGCGGTGCCTCGACTGCCGCCAACGGCCGTGGTGTGCGTGCGGCGGACAAGCAGAGCAGCGGCGGTGGTCTGCTGTCGCCCGATGGACAGCGACGCAGTACGTAAACACAACCCTTGTACATGTACAGTGCGTATCGCCTATAGGGTTGGCAGCTACTGTATATTAGTGAACGGGCTAGGTAAAAATGGTGACTTAGGACCCGACCCGTTCACTATATTATTTTATTAAGGCCAAAACAAAAAATTGGCTTGTTTCCGGTCGGCAACCCCTGAAAAAGGAGACTCGGTCGTGCATCCTGAGAAATCAAGCAAACAGTTCGAGTCCTTCCAGCTCCGTTATTCTAGGCTAGCTCGTATCGACCCCGGAGGTTTTCGAGCTGACAGCTGAGAATCTCTGCTACCTTGTAGGTGTTTCGATTGTGGAATTTGGTTGAGATTTCACCGAGTTATGACTCGTTGAGTGCACTTGCACACATGGCATTGCCACCGTTTGTATACATTTGGGACCAAAACAAAGTTTCAGAATTTGGGAAAAAGTGGCCCGGTCGGCCGACCGGAAACAAGTTCATTATTTGTTTTGGCCTATTAAAGCAGAAATATTCGTCTGAATTTAATTTCGCCTTTTCGTCCAAGGAGCTTTTGGACTAAATTAAATGCCGGACTAATGTCGATTTGCCCAGCTTTTCAATACACTCTTGTGATCCGTGGACGAAATTTCAACCGGACGAACTCCCTCTCTTTGGAGTTGGACGAAATTATTGACCGACGAAATGTTCTGCCTGTACGGAATGTAGTAAAATACCGGCCTTTAAGTGATCATTCATTTCCATTTACCATGACTATGATTAAAAGCAGGACCGTGGTTTGCTGTGAGTGCCCAGGGCTGGATAGAGAAATGTACTTGTACATATGGAAGAGAAAGGATCCAAGTCTCTGTGCCCATGCGTATCAAGCACTCTTCAGGCAGTTTGCCAAACCTTTTTTCTATAAACTAGAGAAATGCATGTGTATGTGTGTTCATGTGTGTTTGACTGTTTGCATGTATGTGTGTGTATGTGTATGCATATGTGTGTGTTTGTGTCTGTGTGTGCATGTGTATGCATGTGTGTTTGCACGCATGCGTGTTCGTCTGCACGTGAACAGACGAGCCGGTCGTGCGCTTCAAGCGCAAGTACGCCGGCCAGCATCTGGAGGTGACGTGCAACGGGCAGCGCGCCATTCTGGACGTGGACAACCTGCCCGATGCCGTGGGTTCCATGACGCACGCCAAGCGCCAGTGCGTCGAGTACAACGGGCGCATGATGACGCCCACCGAGTTCGAGACGGCCACGGGCTACGGCTCGCGCAAGAACTGGCGCAGCAGCGTGCGCATGGGCAACCAGTCCATGAAGCAGATACTGGACTCGCTGTGCAACGAAGAGTTCTCCTTCAATGTAGACTCCGAGGTGAGCTGCCATAGTCACTGGTTTTAAGGACTGCAGTTGCCATGCATACTGATTCAACACTGCAGTTTATTTTTGTTTATTTATTTCACCTTCCCGTGGCCAGGGAATAGAGGCCATTATGTAGGGAGCGGCTTTGACCACTTGCTGGTGAGCTGATCTACTCACCTCCCACCGCTTTAGGAGCTGCATCTGCGCCTTGATCTTTGAAGGGTGGCGGCGTTCCTAGGGATGCGGAAACCTCGGCCTCTAGCCAAGTCTGACGCGAACCATGAAATTTTTTTATAGGGAGTGTCCGGTAGCTGCAATGGATATTGGTTAAAGACTGCAGTTGTCATGGATACTGGTTAAAGACTGCAGTAGAATGTTTTCCGGTTGCCGTACTAGCTTTGTTGTAGCACAGGTATTGTAGTGAAATGCTACCCAATGGCCAATGCACACTTGTTCAAAATCTAATAACGTAAAAAATAGTGAAGTTTGCACATGCACTTCACCACCGATGAATTTGTTTCTTTTACCTTGCCGTGTGTGTGTGTGTGTGTGTGTGTGTGTGTGTGTGTGTGTGTGTGTGTGTGTGTGTGCATGGATGTGTGAACATGCGTGTGCAGCAGCGGAAATCGGCGTTCAGCCCGGCGTCCACCTCCACTCAGAGCCAGAAGCACCAGCGCTCCTCCTCGGTCAGCACGGCTAGCAGCGTCAAGTCCCCCGTCGCTCATAGCAACGGTGTAACTCAGTCGTCGGCGCCGAGCACCCCCGCCCAATCAACGCTGGCCACCGTGCTCACCTCGTTCTCAAACGATCACCTGCAGAGACGAGTTCAGACCATAGCCGTGCCCAGCAACGAGAACCCCAGCGCCAGCATGTCCGTTTCACCGACGGTGGCGGCGACACGAGGTGGTTCGCCGCACGCCTACGCCCCGTTGCCAAACTCCTCGGCCCTGCCGTCATCACGACAATCGTCCCCGCCCTCGTCCCGCGCTCCGCAGCAGCAGCAGCGATCGCGCGAGGGGAGCAACGGGACGGCGCCGGGCAAGCCGGCCGGCCGCGCCAACGGCTCTCTATCGCCAGGGCAACACGACCGGCATCACGGTCACGGTAGCAAACGCTCGCGCTTCTCGAAGACGGGCGCGGCCGAGAACGGCCTTCCGGACCTGATTCCGGCTCGTTCGGCTCAGCGCACGCCGTCTAATGATTACTTCTCTCCCCAGGAGTCTGCTGCTGCTAGTTCGGACAAGTCGTCGCGCTGGCCAGGTGTTGACCTGAAGAGGTCACCGCCGATCAGACTCCAGTATAGCACAGGTAGGTGCTGAGGCTCTGTTACCATGGGAACAACTAGCTACAAACAAAATTAATTGTCTTGTATGACTTTACAGTAGGGTTTGAACTTTGAAAGTGCTATGGGTCAGCCAGCCCAGAGTCATGGCAGCGCTGACTTTTCGATCCACTTGGATCCATGTTTTATATGGATGATGCAGGTTTGGGTGGTTTCCGTTGACAGTAGGGTGACACATCCACCGGTAGTAACTTGCCTGGGCGCTCCCACTCATGGTACAGACAAATTCACACCAACATGCGGCACGAGGGGCCAACCCACCCGTATACAGTCAGACCTCGCTTATCCTTTCCTCTTTTTATCCGGATCCCTCGCCATCCGGAAGAAAATCGCTGGTTACAGATGTACAGTATATCCAACATAACCGGTGTTCGGTTATCCGGTTCCCTCGCCCTATCCGGATATTTTAGTGGAAAGCGGATGTGTGCGGTTAAGCGAGGTCTGACTCTACTGTATTTTACTACAGGCAGAGCGGATCCAGTGTGACCCCGAAGTCGTTATTTGTTGACTTCTGACGTCATCGCGTCCAAGCCCATATGATGCTTCATTTTGTGCACGAAACTCTGAGTGTGTTGCAGCTGTGCCCTGGTCCTTGCGGGTGATGATGTTCCTTTCGATGCGGAAAATTCAGTCTGATGAACTCTTGCGCGAGTCGTAGTTTGGCTTCTCTGAAATGTTGTTTATCTCTGTACGTGTGTGTGTGTGTGTGTGTGTGTGTGTATGTGTGTGTGTGTGTGTGTGTGCGCACGCTCGTGTGTGCACGCTCGTGTGTGCACGCTCGTGTGTGCACGCGTACATGCGTGTCAATATGCTGTACGCGTGTCTAGATGCGCGTGAGGACGGCATGTCCATCACAGTGTCTGCAGAGCCGGAGGACGCGGATAGCAATGCACAGCTCTACATCATGGAGCCCGGTCCAAGCCACCAGATCGTCACACCAGTTCATATGCACTGTAAGTTTGTCAGGGGCGTCGTCGCACACGGTACGGTCACTACGGTATTGACCGTACCACTATTTGCCCCAAGTACCCTGTGAATCAATATAATGCACTGATTTGGGCTCTAAATTTCCAAAACATTTGGCTCAGCCACCCCTCCCCACGAGTAAATTGTACTTCAGATGGCTGACCGTACCACACTAAAATACCTTCCGACGCCCCTGTTGGTTATGCCGTGGTGCACAGCAATCAACGGGAGGATGTGGCTGTGGATGTGGCCTGCACCTGACAAGCCTCACCAGCACTGTTGCAAAGCCGTTGACTATTTCTATGGTTCATCAGTGTGCTCTTTAGTGCTGCGCAACAGTTTCCTAACAGTTACACAACTCACTCATTCTCAGTCAGGAGATTACAGTCCATTTCAAAAATATACACGCATGGCATTTTTGAAATATTTCAAATTTGGCTGGAGCTTTTCGAGTTCTTTTTTCGGAATATTGCTCAGGCCCTTCCTGCAATTAATCTCATATAGATTTCTAAGCGATCGGATAGCAAACACCCAATTTCCAATTTTTTTATGCACAAAGTGATCACAGATTGTATGTGGTATAGATGCTGGCCTAACGGTTTTTTTTGAAATCACACGTCTATACTGTAGGAGAACACAATCAGTCATGATAAGTTACACAACACCCGAAGTGTATGCAGATGGAGAGATGCACAGGCTTGTACGAATTGTCATTGCTGGAGTGCTGATCCAATGCCTCGTCAATTAACACACTACATAATTATTGCAGCAGACGGGCCATGAAGGCCCGTGATACCGAAGTGTGGTGTCGTACGCTCCTTGTGTACTGCACTCAGTGCACATCCTGTCTGTGTAATCATTTCCTGAATGTTGCAGTCACTGGCTGACCAGTTTTTTTGCATATTTTGGACAGCAAATTGTCTCAAATAGTGACTGTGCTCTTCCTGGTGCACGTGTGTGTGTGTGTGTGTGTGTCTGTGTGTCTGTGCATGTGTGTGTCTGTGCATGTGTTTTTATAGCTCCCCCGGAAACGTTGTCGTCGTCATCGTCGCCATCACTACACGAGGACATGATCGTGGGCCGTAAGTTCCCCGCCGGCCACCCGCACACGTGGACCTGTCACCAGGTGGCTCTCTACCTGCGCTCCTGCAACATGGCCGCCGCAGCACGAGCCTGCGAAGCCGATGAGATCAACGGGCGTGCTCTCCTTCACCTGCGTGAGGAGCACATGCTAAACCGCTTCCGCATAAAGCTGGGTACGGCGCTGAATCTCGTCGAGCTGATCAAGCAGATCAATCTCCATTTCTTTCCGGCAGCGAGCAAGAACGGCTGCTAACGATAGCTGTCCTTTGTGTAAATGTCTAGTTAGCTAGTCTGGTCAATAGCAAGACCGGTGTGTGTGTGTGTGTGTGTGTGTGTGTGTGTGTGTGTGTGTGTGTGTGTGTAGGCGTTATTTGTAGCCGTTGTATTCCGCAGTATTCTATCGTCGTGTCGTCTCTGTCCGTCTTGTTGACGTAATGTGATAAAAGAGCTGACGTCCCGCACAAGCATACCACTGTACTGTAGTATGGCAGTCATGTGTTGCTTGTCCAGCTCTGCATTAGTAGTGTCTGTCCGATCAAGTACATGTAGATGTTGTTGTTCTAGCTCAACTATGTCGTAGGCCGTATGAAGACGAATACCTATATTCTATAGCGTTATATACTGTATTCGTTCTCTGTCTTGTTCCATACTTCGTACGTGTTGTGCCTTGTTTTCCGCGTTCGCTGAACCAGCTTGCCTGTTGCGGCGGAGTTTTCCTATCTATATTTTCTTGTCTCACTCATGAATGTCTCCCCGCCTGTATCACACTTTATTTTACCGGCTTGGGTGCTCCGATATGTGACAGCATCCTATTATTTTTATACTGCACTTGCATCATGCATTCCGTTTGTCACATTGCATTTTCTGCTTCAATCACCCGAGGAATAACAATGCAACATTCCGTTGTCCTCTCCGATCATCGTCGACCTTTTCTGTGGCAACATATTATACTGTCCTGGACGTATGTAATGAAGCACGCTCAGCCATCATGACAGACAGAGCGTGCTTCATTTGATTTCTTACATCGCGAAGCCACATATTAGGGAAGGTCGAAGGTCGAAAAATTATTCTCGAAATGACGTCAAACGGTCCTGACATTCCTGACATGACGTCAAACGGTCCTGAAACTCCCGAAATGACGTCAAACGGTCCTGATGGCCTGATTATGCCTGCGGCGGGAAGATCGCCTATTGGCCATGGCCCCGGCAACGATCACGTGTCGTGTAAGAAATGGAAATCCGGCCGCACGTCTAGCGGCCCCAGGGCGCTGGCCATGTAGCCGTGGGTAAGCAGTACACACATGCATGGCTGTATTATTATGCGCTGCTGGTCGCATCGGATCAACATGTGCACTGCATGCAACGTTCTGTATGCGCTGAGGACGCCGGTCTCGGTCAATCGATTGGATGTCCATGTCCACGACAGTAGTTCATGCAGGGATGGGGCATGGCTGTCATGCGAAGCCGTTTGTCATATTAACATGTACCGCGTACATGTACACCTTTCTCACTGTGATGACTGCTTCGAAGTACACTGTCTTGTATACCTCTCTTATCCGGACCTCAACGTTTTAAGGACATCTCGATATACTGGGTACCCTGCATGCGGCCGGTGAGGTTCAGTGTAGATAATACTACTCGTTTGCCACTTTTTGTGGAAATAGTAACGTCATGGCCGATCTCTGGCCCGGCCCCAGCACAGTTACGAACCTTTTCAAAGTGATGGGCAGTGCCGGGATACGAGAGGCACGCATGTATAAGCTAACGCTAGCTGCATAGTGGGATGGTCTAAGACCATGATTGAGAAACAGAGGGTACCAGGTTCAAGTCCTGCTTGGAAGCGGAAGGAATTTTTCCAGCCGTGCTGCGACCCACAGTTAATTGGGAACTCGTGGCCTGGCACGAGGGTAACATGGATGCAGCTAATGGGATTTCGGTCTTTGACCACTTGGTGGTGGGTCTGATCTACTCACCTCCCACCGTTTAGGCGCTGCATCTGCGCCTTTGATCCTAGAGGGTGGTGGCGTTCCCACGGCGGATGCGGAAAACTCGGCTTCCAGCCGAGTCTCACGCGAACCGTGAAATTTATTTTATTTTTTAGCTTATACATGCTTCGCATGCTTCGCATGCTTCGCTGTGTGTCGCAATGTGAGCTTACGTCAACGAACAAAAAAACTGAGGAGCTGCACCAAGCCAAAAGAACACCAACTTGTATACATGTAATGTGCTCTTGATAAAACCACACACATGTACGGTAAGACCTCTCTATAATAATAATATCCTGGGCCGGCACCCTGATCTGTCAACTGGGCAACCCACAGACACGGTGAGGCACATCCCAAATGATAAATCAATCTTGAAACTGTCTTCCTATCCCGTGGCAGTCAGCTGAACTAATTCACCACATAAGAACTGCTTAGTCCTCAGGTCCTATACTGGGTATGCAAGCCTCAGAAGACTGAAGGGCAGTGATCATGGCTGTGCCCATTCCAAGCAGGGAGTCGTAAAATACCGGTATTTTACGCCTCCCTAATTCCAAGAGACCAATGCATTAATGGCTGAGTGTGCCCATTCCAAGAGACCAATGGCTCAGTGTGCCCATTCCAAAAGACCAATGCGCTATTGTTTTAATTAAGGCTGCAGTGCATGTGCGAAGAACGGCTGAATCCGAGACACAGGAACCTTTCGGTCGCGAGGCGCCGAGAAAAGAGTTTCTTTATTGGACGGCATCACTCTGCGCTCGCACCCAGGAAGCAGCACCAGCAGGGTGATGTTAGACTACACATTACACAGTACACAAAGGACGAAACAGTTCTGTCCGCAGATTAAGTATTTCGCTCCTGCTCTTGTAGCAGTTGAGCACTCTTGAGTGGGGTAGTGCCTTTGCTGTTTGCGTTATGCCGCCAGAGCTCACCGACTCAGTTTGAGCACTCTGACAAGGTGCGTTCGGGCCTGGTTTAAATCCAGGCTTTGGAAAATTTATTTTTCAGTGCCATCAGGTTCGGCCTCATTTCCTCTGTGCTGCGCTGATGAGTCCACAAAGGACGAAACAGTTCTGTGCGCAGATTGAGCAAGTTCTGTGCGCAGATTGAGCAAGTTCTGTGCGCAGATTGAGCATTATACAGTAGATGAAGTCCCCGACCCACACAGCTGATGGCGGAACAGTACACGACCTGAATGCTGCTATCAATCTTATTATCAATAGTAATGATTTGATACAACTATTACTTCCCTCGCTACAGACTATACCTGTTACTTCACACAAGCACAGCGGAAGCACAGGGAGAGAGAGAGAGAGAGAGAGAGAGAGAGAGAGAGAGAGAGAGAGAGAGAGAGAGAGAGACAGAGAGAGAGACAGAGACAGAGACAGAGAGAGAGAGAGAGAGAGAGAGAGAGAGAGAGAGAGAGAGAGAGAGAGAGAGAGAGAGAGAGAGAGAGAGAGAGAGACAGAGACGGAGAGAGACAGAGACAGAGACAGAAAGAGAGACAGAGACAAACAGAGACAGGTAGAGACAGAGATAGCCTCAACGATAGTGAGAACGGTGCAACGGTCACAGTCGTACAAGTCGTGCACGGCACCGTCCCATTGACAAATCACAATGTGTGCTCATGGGAAAATGTCAGAATGTCAGTATGTCACTAGAATACAGCTATCAGAGCAACATGGCTACATGCACAGTAGACAATCGATAAGCAAGACCAAAACTACATGAAGGGCAAAAGGAAGAAAAGCCGATCGTAGCCTTTCTCCGCGTTGCCCCAGAAAACGTTTCGGCTTACTATTCTATTCGGAATCTGAATCACTAGTGTTGTTGTTGTCGCGTCCCCATCGCCTGTCCCTCTTCTTCTTGGCTGGTGAGGGAGAACGTGAGCGAAACCGAGCGGAGCGCTCCTTGCGGCCTTCGTTCTTGCTTTTCCTGGCGTCGTCGTCGCTCCACTTGTTCAGGCGCCCGCTGTGGTGGTGGTCATCGTCGCGACCAGCGTCCGGTGACTGGCGGCGGCCGCGTTCAAACCGGCTCTCCAGCTGCTGGCCCGGCCGGTCCAGGCGCGACAGGACGTTGTCACGGCGACCGCCCCGACGATCCCGCTCGGACCTGTCTCTGCTGCGCGATCGACGACGGTAGCGATCTCGGCGACGCTCGGGACTGCGGCTGTCACCGCGGCGACGATCGTCACCACGACTGCGACGTGAGCGGTAGCCATGGTGATCTGGTGACCGACTACGGCTACGACGAGCTGGAGACCGACTGCGAGTGCGGCTGCGACGAGAACGAACCGGCGACTTGCCCTGATCCCATTCCCGCACTGTCTGCGTGGCTTCAGCAGATCCGTTAGCAACGCTACCAGCAGCAGCAGCAGTAGTAGTAGACGCTTCCTTGGTTGCCTCGGTGTTGTCGCCGTTCTCCGGCTGTGCTTCACTTGTTGACTCGCTGTCACCACGTGCCTGTGGCGGCGGTGAGCTACGCTGCTCCAGCGGAGACCTGGATCGACGACGCGGTGAACGGCTGTGACTGCGCTCGCGCTGCTCGGTTTGGACGGCGGCATCGCCGGACCTCCGTGGCTCCTCGCTGGAACGCTGGCGGCGAGCGTTGCGACTGCGATTCAGCCGATCGCGCAGGTCTCCCTGGGCGGGAGGAGGGTGCCGATGGCTCGACGACTCACCGCCAACTGGAGACGGTGTGCGGTACCGCTGCAACAGCACAGTCAAACAAAGGGAGGAACGAACGTAATGTAAAACGGGAAAATTCAAAATTGTGCGGCGTTTTCAGTTTGCGACTTCAGACAGCAGGCGTGTAGCAACAAATAAATTTCGCGAATTTTGTGGTCTCCGGTAAATAATGATATGAGCCCGGATCAGCGAAAACCATCACTTGTGTTTGATTATCAAGTAATTGATCAAAAAGTGATGTTGAAGTCGAGCGAAAGAAAAGTCGCGGACCTAACAACTACCCATCACCTTTCTGTCTTTCTTGTCACTAGTCTTTCTTTCCGCCTGACAAGCCCGTGTTTGTTTGTTTGTCAGTGACTAGCTAGCTAGGCAAGCCCCAGGCAAGTGAGGAGACATGGCTGGGAAACCCCACGTACCTGAGCTTGGCTGGCAAATAGGTACGATCGCGGGGCGCGAACATCGCACGCGCATCGATCGTCGTTAACGCCAATCACGACACGACATTTTTTGGTGATGACTGGGATGGCGATTGCTCATCAAGGGAGTCAGGTGAAAGCCGCGGAGCTCCAGAAGACGACTCTCTCCTGCCGCAAAGCGACTCGGCGAGGCTGCAGACTTCGTGTAGAAGAAAGCAGCGCTGATGAGAATGACGACGACTCGAGTGGATATTGTTGAGCAATGAATGACTCCTTCACTTGTAAGTTTGTCGGATTTCGACAGGGACGATGCAGAACAAAGGCGTCTCGATTCACGACAAGCAGAGCAACGAGAGCTAGCGCCAGACAAGATATGCTTCGTTGGCTTGGACGCTGAGCAACTTGGAACATTTATTTTGTCCATGCAGCAGCTCCCACTAAAATTCAAAAAAATATGTTCCTGTAGGGTCAGATAATGTATCTGCACCTAGTACGTGCCTCATGCTCGTGAGCCTGTGTGCTAAGTAGTCACAGCTACTGTGATTGCACTCCGTGTGTGCAGATATGTTTTCATGGAAGTGAAGGGCTTGGAAACCATCAGTACAGAGCCTGTTGTGGATGCAATATCAGCCCCTGGAACTTGGCCATATGCCGTTAGCTGCCCAATAGTCAGTGAAGCCAATGATTTACTTGGACAAGCCAGTGTCTGAGTACACCCCCAAGGACTATAAAATTCCTCCTTGTTAGCCCGCTGAGTTATGGCAATGCCTAACAGGATAAGACACATACCAACGCTCATACTTGCATCTTACACAGAAATGCCACTTCCAACATTTGTACAGAGATGTGGTGTACTGCATTTTTTGGTCACTTACGGTGCTGTGATTGATCTAAAATTTCTTGAGACTGGTTATCAGTAGTTGTGGATCAATTTGGAGCACAAAAATATTTTTTGAAAATTTTGCACATGTGATGGTTTTTGCTGATCCATGCTCATATGTTACTGTATCCAGTTGAAAATTCCTGCTGTCGCCTTGAAATTTCGCGAATCCTTCCCCCTCGTGAAAGTGTGGATTTGTCCCTTTTCACAATACAACAAAAAATCAGTATGGGCATGAATATGTTTTACTTTCGTTCAATGTGAAGAAGTCACCCTGGGGTCACAGACTTTGACGTGCAGGGTCTGCTGAGTGAGCACAGAAACCAGGTTTTGCCAGCACAGTGCTGTGATAAACACACCACCACATCAACTAACTCACCATCGTGCCTCTTCCCTTCAGGCGATGACCGGACCGCGACACCTGAACGGGATAGCAAAACACACACCAACACACACCAGTACACTGAGATTGTCATACCCTCACCATGGCAACGACCAGGACAATCACAGCTCCACAGAAAGGAGTATGGAGAAACAAGAGTACAGGGCGTCACAGTGGAGTGGCTAGACCGGAGTCCCCCAGGCGCGTGCCCCGTATGGGTTCCTGGGTGCCCGGAACCCTCCTTTTTTCGCTCAAAATGCAGGATTTTGCTTCATTTTTTGAAAAATTTCCCGGGGAGGTCCCCTGGAACCCCCCTTGAAGGGCACTGGCGCACGTGCCAGCCCCCCCCCCCCCGAGGAATAAATCGGTTTGCAATAGAACACACTCGCCATTGCCAAGAGGACAGTGCGGTAGCATCTAGAGGACCTACCCTTCCCGTCCGCGACGTGTATTCACGCTTGTAACCGTACTGTCGTTCCCCGCTGTGAAGAAAGAGACAAAAGAAAGAAAACCTGATCAATTAGGCCTGCTTGTTAGAGATCAAATAACCAAACTAAATGGTTGCCATCAATTTTGACTGAGTGCAGGAGGTGCGCAAAACGTGTGTCAATGAAAAGAGGACCAGAAAAGACACACACGCAATGGGCACCAGAATTACACAGTGGAAGTGGCAGTCTGTTCACGCACACGTCTCCTGGGAGCATCAGAAGTCGCAAGTGTACCTTCACACACGTGTCATCCGTATTTGGGCAGTTTGCCACCTCTTTACGTAATTACGGCACTTGGCAATGGTGACTTGGCACCTCTTCTCGTTCCCATATGTGGACAAGCAGAACCAGTTCTGTGAACCAGAACACCTAAAGCGGAACCTCACTTTCTGACCACCTCAGTAAAACAACAGCCGGACTGAACTGAAACCACCTTTGCTCGATCCTGAATTTTCCTCCATATTATAAAGCGCGCCAGGGAGTCGTCAAATACCGGTAATCGGGCATTTGACGACTGCCTGAAGCGCGCACACCGGTGGTCACTTTCCCCCAAAAAAGATCATCTCGGAAATCAGACCAATTTGACCGGTCTGAAATTGAAAGGCGGTCAGAATTCTGAGGTTCCACTGAGTAGAAAGTCCACTTATGGAACAAAAAACGTGACATTATTCGCGAGTTCACATTATTCGTGAGGTTGAACGTATGCAGTCTAGTGGTCACTGTCTGAAGATTGTGTTGTGATTAGTGAGTTGTTGTTATACTCGAGGTCGTTGTTAACAAGGTTGACTGTACATTCTTAGTGGTAAGCTAACCCAACATGTTGCTGTGCACAGCTATGCACAGCTATGCAGGGCATACAGCCATAGTCGTACCTGCCCGCTGCTCGATCTCCTCTCTTGTCATCTTCACTGTCAGACCTACGATGCGAGCACAGAGTAGGATGAACACACACACACACACACGTACACAAACAAACGCACAGGCTCGTAACGCTTTGACCAGGAGCAAGAACACTCAATCCAGCCATTCGTACAGCTTCATACTGATGATTTTCCACACAAAAAGTGTCAGGTCTTCATCTACCACCAAAGGGAGCACACCTAGTTGGACAGCAGCGAGCGTAATTGTCAAGTGCAAAGATGTCCATTAATCGAACCAGTGCAAGGCGAGAAGCGCTCGAAATGCAGACAAGAAGCGAATTACTTTGCACATACCAGTATCGTTCTGTACTTCGGGGTCTCGCGAAGTGTCGAAGTACAGAACGATACTGGAACGTGCGTTATAATGTACCAAAATTTCACTGTACACACCTGTCACTGGCAGAGTCTCCGCGATGCCTTCGCTTGTCTTTAGACTTGGATTGCTTGGCCTCTTCTCTCTCCTTCTCACGCTTCTCGCGGACCGGACTGGGCGTACGGCTTCTACGAAGCAGCCAGGTCGACGACGATGGGATGTCTTCTGGTGGCGCTACACCGACCACGTACGGATCCAGCACTTCAAGAGCGGCTGGCTTCTCCCTGAACATGGACAGATAGATGAAGAAAACAGAGAGCTACGTACGTCGAGCACAGTACGCTACACGAATGGCAACAACGGCTAGGTCCTGAAGCATAATGCTGATCAAACATGCAACGCTGTACTAGTTAGTACAGGGTATTTGAACGCATTGAGCTCTTTATCCATTGTTGTTCTCATATTCTGCTGATTGTAATAAAAACTTTGCGTCGAGTACAGGACAGCTGTAGTTTATGCTACTTAGAAGTACCGTAAAGTACCGCGAGAGCGCCCCGTCTCGCGAGAGCACCTCACCCTGAATTACGGAAAGAGGACTCTTGTTTCCGGCCAAAGAAGTGAACGTCGTATGGCCTGATGCGACTGAAATCGCACGGCCCGGGGTTCACTCTGTTTTGCAACATTGGGGTTGCGTCGCATTTACTTGTACGGTGAGCCATGTGAACTGCAGTGCCCAGTGCTGCAGCCAGCACGAACAACGTGGAATTTACCTTCACCAAGCCGCTGTTGCTTCACTGCGACAGTCGCGGCGTAGGCGTGTGTATGCCCCCAGTACAGACCACCTCACACACTCGCGGCCACCCTGCCTCCCCAGAGCGACCACGAAAGGACGATCGGTGGGACGCTCTGGCGGCACTTTACGGTACTTTCAAGGCCCTTGGAAATCTCCACTTTTTATAATATATTCACCGACAACAATGCAACCACTGCTGTTTTCGCACGAGGAATACAGATAGCGGTGGAAAGTAAAATCCAACCGTTGTTTCGGAGCAAGCAGGGTCTCGCCTGCTGTAGCCAGTGCAGGCTGTCGTAATAAAACGACTCATCCGTGTTCCATTCCCGTGCATGGTACATGCATGGTGCGACGGCACAATGACAGCTGTCGCAAATCACGCTGAGTAACGTGTTTTTTGGTGATTCCTGGTTAGCTGCTAGCTTTTCCCTACTCGAAGATGTTGCCGCCGCGAAATCTGGGGGTTTGTGTTCGTCCTGGCGAAAACCGTGTTTTGATCCGTTGAGGGAGACGAGAGATACAGTGCGAAGACGTACGATCTGTCCGAGAATCGGCGAAGAAGAAAGCTTCGCAGACGACCCGTAGTGGTTGGGAACAGAATGGAACATATACCAGTCGATGCCTGTCATGGTAGGGATGACTGCTACGAAGTTTTAGCCCCATGCTCCCCAGCGCTTTTTAGCGCCCGACGATAATTACCAAATTTCATCGATTTTCCATGTGGATCAAAGCATAGTCTCCTCAATCTTCTCCAGTCGAGCTGAGTCTGGACGCTACAATGTCGAGACGCGAAAAGAGAACATGCATGAACACACAGGAGCATCACATGCAGCTGCATTCTGCCTTGACGAAGCTGAGAACAACACCAGCACCACGCATTTGGAAGACATTTCGAAGAAGACGAACTACATATCTGCGTTCAAAAAAGCCTCTGTTCTGTGCAGTGCAGTATGCATGCGTGCAGTATGTAGCTACATATGTGCGAAGCACGGGGTCCGCGGATCGACTTCGTTCAAAAATCATTGTGCCACACGGGTTGTATGATTTGTGTGCGATCATGGCCTTTCTTCTTGACAAACAAAACTGAAGTTTTTCGATCTTCAAATCGCCATAGCGTCCTTGTCATGACTCCAAATCAGCTGAAACTTTGCAGGAGGAATGAAAATGCCACGCTGAATCGATTGGTACCATTTTCGAAGGGTTTCCTTGAAAAATAAAATTTAGCCTGCACTGGCTACCTGCTGTATGCCACCAATGCATGTGCACTTTTATGCTGAAAGAATTGAAAGTACATATTGGTCCAGTAAAAAGTACTCACTCCTCCAGACTCTGTACACACATGCATGGAATTTGCAAAGGTCAAGTGGCACATGACTGACCGAGGCAATACAACATTCAAATTATTGCCTGATAACTTTCACCTGGCCATTTACAAACAATACATTGACACAGGGACAGAGCAGCAGACAGACAAGGCACTTACTCATCGTCCGGCGAAGACTTTCTGTCTTTCGCCTTTTCCGCCTTCTTCTTCGACTTCTTCAATTTCTTCAGCTTGCGCTTCTTTCTCCGCGCTCGACGTTCCTTGCGCTCCGCTCGCTTCTGCGCTTTCTTTTTCTTCAGCTTGCGCCGCGCCCTCTCCGATTCAGACTCGGAGGATGACGACCCGCTGGAGGAAGAGCCAGAGTCGCTGGAATCGCTATCGCTGCCGCTGCTGCTCTCACTGCTGCTGGCCGGTGCAGAGCGTTTCTTCTTGGAGGATGCTGCGGCAGCGGCAAGAGAAGTTAGAGAACAGAGCAGAAAGACGGTCTGGAGCCAGAAAAAGAGACCCATGGAATACTGATACATGCACATGTATTTAGCTACGCACGATTGCAACTTGTTCTGATTTTACAAGTCGCTCTGACAAACCGGCCGATAGTGCTGCTTCACTATCTTACTTGGACTGTTCACGGAAGCACTCCAATCTGTTGTTTCGGGCCCTTGAATCCTAAAAATGATTAGGCTTCTAAAGGGAACACTGTCCCCTTACCACCACCACAACCATCAGCACCAGCACCACCACGACCACCACCACCTTCAGGTTTCTACCGACAGAAAAGTGGCAGCCCTGGCTACTGTATGCATGCGATCCAAACCCTTTCCTAGATATAGAAATATGCTATATTGAGTATATTCTTGTCGTCGCAACCAGGATGCTCATCAATATGACCAAAACGTGCAAGAACAGCAGGGCAACCAGCCACTAATTCACTACCGACTCATACAATACACTGACCAGTCATTACCTTTCTTATCTGATGCTGCTTTCTTCGCCAGGACAAGCTGGCCACAGTTGGCTATGACCACTTGGACAGTGGGTCGACTGCGTTTGTTTACCTGAAGTTGCTCAATGTTGCGTACAACGTCATGGCCGACAAGAACCTGTCCGAACACGACGTGAATCCTGCAGAGACAATCGTCGAGAACGCAGAACATGCAAGAGGAGAATGCAATAATCAGACTCGGCAACATTGCGATATCTTACGCAGACGCACACAGCTTGTCATGACCAGACAGAGAGACACCCATGTAGCATAGTGCTGTACACAAGACATAAGATAATAGACACCCTTAGCAAAAAACGTTATGTTGTAACGGTATTATCGTAAGGGGGAAAATACCGTGATTTGGGTTCGACCTTTAGCAAGATGCACGCTATTTTTAGTACGCTGTTGCCACGAGAATAGCTTTGATTTCGCGCGGTACAACCATTTTGGTCACCATATACGTGATACAAGGTGAAATGCGTACGGACTATGCAATATTTGGCCAAAACACGTACCGTTGGTCACAACGATAAATCAGCCCCCATAACGTTTATACGCTGCAGCTTCAACGCTATTTGGGTGATCAAGGTACGAGTACCGTAAAAAATAGCGTTACCGTTGTTTGCTAAGGGTGTCTAATGACGGCGTGACTGCAATTGAATACCGGTAGAAGTTACCACTACCAAGCTAGCTGCCAGGTTCTGGTACTGTACAACAAGCGTGCACCACGTTTCCACGTCGGACTTGGTTCGGTCACTAGTTTGCAAACCAGACCTGAAACCTCTCAGTTCCCAGGCAATACTGGTCATGCGAATGACATCACCATGCATGTTTCGCACGGAGTGGCAAACCAGAGCGTGTAAAATGCCACTCCATAGAAAATGCCTCAAACGGTGACGAAATCGAATAACCGCTAAAGATACTACCACCACCGCCGCCACCACCACCACCACCACCACCACCACCACCACCACCACCACCAGCAGCACCACCACCACCACCACTACCAGCATCAGCAGCACTGTGCTATGTCACATCGCCAAGCCTTACCCGTCAAGATGCGGAGCTGGTTGTGTTGTGATGAAGAACTGAGAGCTGTTGGTGTTGGGACCTCGGTTGGCCATGGACAGCAGGAACGGACGATCGTGCTTGTAGGTGAAGTTTTCATCTGAAAAAAAGTCACGCCAAAGCAAGGTTTGCTGTACAATAAAACCTGTGATAAGAGACAAGCTGTGTTTAGTGACCACTGTGATGGAAGATCACCTGTGTTTAGTGACCACTGTGATGGAAGATCACCTGTGTTTAGTGACCACTGTGATGGAAGATCACCTGTGTTTAGTGACCACTGTGATGGAAGATACCATAAAAGTCCGTAAATAAGTACGTATTTACTTTCGAATTTAGTGACCACACCCGTACTAACTTTCGGGCGTGTACTGACTTTCGGGCACGAACTAACTTTCGGACCTGACTTGTGTGTAGTGGAGAAGTCATTTACATGTAGATGTACATGCTACGTGCTGCATGTGCGCATCGTACCGGTACTTATTTCGGGCAGTATGTTTATCGGGCTTGACTTGACTTCAACACACAGAGCCAAAAGACTGAAGGGGGTATTTCTTTCGGGCAGGTACTTATTTACGGACTTTTACGGTAACCTGTGTTTAGTGGCCACTGTTATGAAAGAAAAACTGTGTTTAGTGGCCACTGTTATGAAAGATAACCTGTGTTTAGTGATCATTGTGATGGAAGAAAAACTGTGTTTCGTGGCCACTGTTAAGGCCGATTCATACTTCATTTCGCATACGGGAAACACGTCTCGTCGCGAAAAACTTGATCTGAGCTCAACTATTTCGCGTACGGGAAAGCCATCGCGCGACGGTCGCGCGATGACTTTCCCGTACGCGACATTAAGTATGAATCGGCCTTTATGAAAGATAACCTGTGTTTAGTGATCATTGTGATGGAAGATAACCTGTGTTTAGTGACCACTGTTATGGAAGATAACCTGTGTTTAGCAACCACTGTTATGGAAGATAACCTGTGTTTAGTGACCACTGTTATGGAAGATAACCTGTGTCTAGTGACCATTGTGATAAGAGATTACAATAACGACACAAGCATGGATAACTGTACCGTAGTGACGCACATAAAGGTCCATGCGCTTATGACTATGAGTGAGTTTTTGCGGGTTTTGTTGCTTTATTTTACGGGGCGTTTTGTCTCACACATAGGCGCATGCGCTTGAGTTGCTAGTGTACCAATGCCGTACAGTCATGTAATTATGCACATAGAGCAATATCGCACTGCACACTGAACTATGTGAACATGGTGTTTGTGTGGTGTCCGTGTGTCGCAGGATGGAATTGCATTTAGGTTCACTTATAAGCCCATGCGCTTATTTGTGAGGGTGCGCTTATGCCCGGGTACAGGCACATGTGCTTATATGCTCGTCACTACGGTATGCAATTGCCACTACTAACATCAGTCAGCCATCTCATGAGTCACCAGAATCGCCTATGCATGCGAGGCAAACTCAAAACACGGTATTCTACAGGCAATGACTAAAGTGGCTAGCTCAACACCACCGCCACACGATTGTACATGCAGCAGACACATTCCTACCAGCCAGAAGTAGTGAATAGTTGTGACAGCAAACGTAGCAAAGCAGCAACACACAGCACCTTGACGCGGCCGGAGCGGAGCAAGACAAAGCCAGACTTGACTCTTCCCCTACCTCCTACTTGTGTTCATTCACACGGGGACGCCTTTCAGGTACCGAGCGTCTCACAGTTCCTACCTGGGAAAGTACGCCCGTAGATCGATTCTCCGCCAGTGCCGTCACCTGAACGCACAACACACAGGGTACAGAACACAGCATCTCAAACCATGCAATATGTCCAATGGTCCCACACAGGGCACAGAACACGGCATCTCAAACCATGCAATATGTCCAATGGTCCAAGGCTGCGATCAGCAAATGCAGAACACAATAAACTGCAAGAATGGACTCAGATGGAGAGCCAAGGATAAATTTATAGAAAAGAAAAAGGACCAAGGAACTACATGATATCGCATGAGCTGGTTGTTTAGTAGCTGCTGGTGGCGTTAGTGGACATTATAGCGTAACTTGAAGTTCCTTGGTCCTTTTTCTTTTCTACAATAAACTGCAGTAAAGACATACAGTCAACCTCGTCAGTAACAGGAACTTTGAATAACAACGCTACCTTCAGACCCAGCACAGTGGGTGAGTTCTAGTGGAAACAGTATCACTCTATTGCCAACCTTTGTGGAAATAGTGACATCATACGCCAGATTTCTGGCCCGTCCCCATTGAATCGCAAGCGATTCAGACATATGAACATTCCAAAGTTATGGGCAGTACCTGGTCCCGGACCGGCCGGAAAAGAGAAATATGAGTGTATCGCTGCATAGGATTCATGTTCCGACATGCTACGCAACAGCCCAATGCAAGAGTGATGCAACTCATCACAACTGACAAGCGACTGCACCATCAGTTCATTGCAAGGAGATTCAGGGGCATGCAGGAACAACAGACACTGCCACTGGGCACCAACAAAACGTACCGTTGATGAAGTCACCCGCCTGGACCATGAAGTTCTTGACGACACGATGGCATGGAGAGCCACGATAGTGCAGTGGCACTTGAGTGTACGGACCTTCGCCTTTCTCGCCTGCATGCAGGGTGCAATATTGTCACACACACACACACACACACACACACACACACACACACACACACACCATTGGACCATTGGACGCCCATCGCCGGAGGCGATGATGGCGATGCTACAGCAGAAGCCATAGCAGCTTGTGCTGGGATTGCACCATTCAACAGCTTGCAAGGCTGAAGAATTGACCGCCACTATTCAGCCTGGTCTACACCACACAGCTATGAAGTGGCTTTTTCTGGCCAGTGAATCCCTACTTTTTGGTCTTTTTCATTTTTTTGACACACACATCACACCACATACTCCGGCATGCACTGGCTGTTGGTAACCACCCAGGAGAATGAAAGAAAAGTCAGGAGGAGTCTGAGAAAGAGAAGAAAGACGTGTGTGACCATAATCGTCGGGAATCGAACCCGCAACCTATCGATTGGAAATCGCTGCACATACCACTGCACCATATGGGACACACACACACACACACACACACACACACACACATACACACACGCACACACCACCATCACCACATACACGCACACAAACATACACACACAACATCACCACCACCACATACACACACACACGAACACACACACACACACACGAACACACACACACACACACACACACACACGCGCGTACACACACACAGCACACGTGAAAGTGAATTCAATTGACACGGCGGTGGTACTACAGACAGCACTGCACAGTCAGCTAGGTTCACTAGGGGCATGGCACATTCACCATGAACCAAAGGCATCAACACTGCCCCTCACTGGATATGGACATGCACTGGCAATCAGCGTCGCTATACAGGAACGCGGCTTTCTCCACGGAACTATCAGGTTTCATTGCACTGTACTAGACAACCGTGTTGCAACCATGAAGGCTGTTCATACTGGCAACAAGCAACGTGCAGATGGCTTTACTAAGTCATCAAACCCGACTGTACCTTGCTCGTCGAGCACTCTTTGCGCACACGCTCATACACTAACTCTGACTTCAAGTCATTTCTTGGCTTGCATGAGCACGGGGTCAGTCTGTATACGGCGTAGTTGACTGTTCAGCACCTGGGTTCTCAGGACAGCATGCACGTGCGTGTCGATTTCGTGCCAAACTAAGACATACTAGTATCTTCCAAGCCGTTCAAACCCACCACAAAAAAATGAAAAAAAAATTAAAAAGAACCAGTTTGTGATATTACGGGCAAAAGTTTGATCGCTTCACCAAACCCAATTTCCCCTAACCGCCTGTTTTGATTTTCCATCACAAAGGCCACTATCGTAAGTATGTGGCAAGCTGCTAGTATTACGCAGCAATATGCAAGAAGTTAGTACTGTGAAGTGAGAAACTTTCGCTAGAGATTAAATTTCGCTATTTTCGCGACCAATACACATTCGCGAATATGCATCGCCGCAAACCTCTCCGTACATTGATTGTAGACAGTACAAGTTCCGACTGAATTAGAATAGATAGAATCGCAAACGCTTCTCATCGTGAACCAGCCCGGTTTACGAAAACGCTAAACTTGCACGGCGCGAAAGTTTGTCGCTCTACAGTAGCCCAAAACTAGATTAGGGTCACACAGACTCAGTGTGGTGTGTCTACTGGACACTGCAGGGCGCATATGACCTATCGCCTTCAGCTGCATTAGAATAGAAGCGGCGGTGACCTCCAGGTCTGTCTCTATTACATGTGTATCAATACCACCAACAGTACATAAACTAGAGTGTGCAACTCGGGATGGTTCCTGTGGGAGCGTAATTCGTGCAGTACGTCATTTCTGACAGCATGGTAAGTCACAGGTACAGTGAAAAGTTGCGTAACCAGTCGCGGTGGTGCAGGTCACTGAGTTTGTGCTGATTTCGTTTTTTTTTATACGGATGGCCTGGTGACATTACTTGTCGGTGGATGTACGTACACAGTCACACAAAACACCGAAATCCTGAAACAGGACGTCTAAAATCAAGCAAACTTGGCTGATTTCCGGGCTATGAAACATGAAAATTTGAGCTGTACGCAAGTCGCGGCTTGGCTGACCTCATCAGGGTGACGTACAGTCCATTTCAAAACTATAGACGCGTACCTAGGCAAAAACCGTTATGCCAGCATCTATACCACATAAAATCTGTGATCACTTTGTGCATAATTTTTTCCAAATTGGGCGTCTGTTATCCAATCCTTTAGAAATTATATGAGAGTAATTGTGGAGCGATCCCGAGCAATATTCCGAAAACTATTCTCAAAAAGTTCCAGCCAAATTTGTTTTCAAAACCCTACGCGTCTATAGTTTTGAAATGCACTGTAGTGCACGAACTGCGCTGTTTCAGATCAGATATGCACAGTTGCACACTCTGGTTTATGTACTTTTGATACCACCTACGCTGTATATAACCAATCAACCAATCAATTAATCAACGCTGTACATGTATACAACACACTCACCAGTGCACAAACAGCGAAAATTTTCCGCAGTTTTCGGGCACATGTCTGAGTACAGCTCCACAACAACACGGCCAGCTGCATGGCGAACAACAAAAACGGCTTGAAATTAAATCACCACCGCCTTACAAAGAGAGAAGGCAATTCAGCCTGTCCCATTACCAGGCTGGTTGTCGATGTGGATATCCAAGTAACATCTTGGCTGGTACTTCGCCATGATGAGTCAACTCCTGAGTAATAATTATCTCCACACTTTCTTCGCCTTTTCTTGAAAAGGCCACCTTCCGGATCGTCACTAAACTCACTTAGTCAGCCACCGATGGAATCATTCCCCTCCAAAATATTCCCTACTCATAACTCAACTGCTTGCAAATCAGTACCTCGGGGTACACTGTACCAAGAAGCGAGCACTTTGTAGAAAGAATTGAAAAAATTGATTCAAGACAACTCAAGAAGTTTTTTCACCTTTCATTTTTCACACTCGACTCAAGTCTCAAGTCAAAAAAACAAACGCCGCGCAAGTCGTAGATCTACATGCATGCCATGCCTACCGCGTACCGGCGCTACATGATGTAGCTCAGCGAGTGTGCTTTGTGCCCTCCTAGTCCTAGATCCTCCCAGTCCCGCGATCACCGTTTGCTTTGACTTTTTGAGTTTGATATGAGCAAGAGTGCATAAATATGGACTCTTGATATTATGAGTGCATTTAATTTTTGTCGATTTTGATTTTGTTCCTTGGCAACCCAAACCACCACACAGCGCGCTAGCGTAGATTCGACGCGCGCGAAGTACACGGCATGTCACCAAAGGCATGGGGAAACCCCGGGATATAGCTGGCTCACTCTTCTCCTGCTGTTGTCAGATCATGGAGTGAGACTGAGACTTGAGAGCGCAGAGCCTTCATGCTTGCTTGTACTGTTGTAGCCAGCATCGATACGCGATGGATCGATCGTACATGTTACGTATCTGCGACTCCGGCGATCTATCGCGTGACTGCGACTCGACTGTGGGCCTGTGCATGTGTGGGGTGGAGTGTGGACTGCATGCACTGGATCACTACACCAAAACTGTGCTGTCTCCGGAGTCCAGACTTGACAGAAAAAGGAAAATCTTGAAATGCTTCGGGTGGGAATGCCTTTGTGGTGGGGTCGTTTTTACGGGCGACCGCGATCTGTACTCCGCTGCCTTGTTCGCCTCCACCTTGGCCCGATTGTTTGAGAGATCGGTCCTTTTGGACACTGTGCTTGGATTGCAGGACTGGCCTTCACGGCTTCAGCTAAAGTCGAGTAGTATTTCAAACAAAGCCGTGGGGACGTGGACTGTTGTAGTAAGAGAGTATTGGTGCTAGGCCAGCTAGACAAGCCATCCAACAAGATCCGGCAAAGGCCGCGTTCTCCATCCAGTGCTGTTGGTCTTCCATAGAGTGAAATTGATGCTATGGCAGTTCAGACGAGAAGGTGAGACTCTAGGACTAAGGTGGCATGTACATTTTTGACCTGGTTCTTTGCTGACCTCTCCCCTGAACTTTGGCTCCTTCATGTTCTCTGTGTTTTGTTTCTGTGTACGTACGTGTGTGCTGCTGTTCCTGGTGCTTGTACAGATGGTTCCACCCGAGTGTTTCTGGAGCTCAGGCCGAGCAGTTGCTGTTGGACCGGGGTATCCGTGGGAGCTATCTCGTCCGTCCCAGCTCCAGCAACCCAGGAGACTTCACCCTCTCGATCAGGTCTGTATTGAAGCCGAACCACAGTGCTGAAACAATAATTATTTCCCAGTGTTTGTGACAGGACAGTCTTAGTTTTGCCGTTTCGTGGCGATAGCCTCGTTATGTTCATCGGGACATGTAGCTGAAAATTGCCCACAAGAAGGATAGTACTTCTCGATGATGCATGTTGGAGGGGGACTAATCGATATCGCGCACAGTCGCACATGGATGGAATTTTCCTGCATCATTAATTTTGCCTCAGTAATCCAAGGCAAAAGAGAAGAGCATCCATTTCTGCTGCGAGTTCGTGTGGTGCAATCCGTGGAGGCGAAATTTCGTGCAGTTGGAGTCAAAATTTCCTGTGTCAGTGCAGCATACACACAGCCAGCTTGATGTTGCTGTTTTTAGCCTCGATCCAGTGCTGAGCTCAGATGGACAAAATTAATAGTTTAATACTAATAATATTTGCACAGCTGTTTGGGTGGAAGTGTTGCTAGTACTACTAGTAGTAGTTCGATAGCCTTGGAGTCACAGCCAGTGCCCTGGATGTGTGGATGCTAATGCAGTGGAAGACGAGATGCTACCGCACCGTACATCCCGCACACTCTGCTGCTGCTGCTGATCAGGGATGGCCTCAACTGAAGTCGAGTCAGCTGTGCTCGACTGACATTACCCGGAGCGACTTTGTGGTGAACAACACGTGGACAGCAGGGCAGGGTGACTAGATTGCACTGCGTGGATCGTGATGTAGACTGGCGGACTCGGCGTTGCGGCTGTACACGTTCTTATACACGACCAACAGTCCCCAACATGTCAGTGTTTCGACACGCTATTCAATTTCCTCGCGGTTGATTACTGGCTTGTCTATCGAGCACCGGCAAACAAGGAGAATTTGAGCCAGTTCAGCCTTCCACAGCGTGATGGTGTCATGCGTTCCTCACAGGGAGATCAGGACATTTCAACCTGAACATGCTGGTGTTTTGAGCAGGAGGTGTTGACAGGAAAGGATTTGTGTAGTTTGTAGGGATGGGAATCAGATAGTGTTTTGGCGCTTTTTTTGGCCACGTCCGTTTTGCTTTTCATGCTGCTTGTGTTCTGAGACTGTGTCGCAGTAATCCCCCCCCTGGCTGTTCATGTCTACATGCCATTGCACTGCGGGCCTAGTGGTGTGTGTGTGTGTGTGTGTGTGTGTGTGTGGTGTGTTCATGCATGCCTGCATCCTGTCATCTGGCCGCAACCTGTCACTTCCTGCCCTGCTGCAAGCAGACGTGCGCCGCCACCAGCACTCATCGTGTTGCCGGACATGTGTCGCATGTGATATGTGGCACATGTCCTAACTAACTTACTTACTTGTACATTGTATGTACATGCAGTGGAACAGTGCTTGTTATGACCCGGCTGCACTACCCAGTGTCCTGGTGGCAGTGGTGATGCCTTGCTTGCTTGATTGAGTATAACGTGTGTCATGTGCAAGTCGTGTACTCATGGTTGAGCCACGGCAGCCGTGCACATTCGTAACTTCGTCATGTACTAATTATTAGAGAGTATGCCAGTTAAGGTTTGTTTCACATCCTCTTCCTTTTTGTACATGTGTGCGTGTGTGCCTGATACCCTTGAGTGATCCGCCGAGGCAATACCTCACTGTAGCTGCTATGCCTTTGTTCCAAAGTCGAAAGAATACCTTGATTGTCTCCAGGACCCCGCCTCTTGGAACTACAAACGCTCAGGACTCCATCGGCCATTGAAAGAATAGAATCTAGAATGCCAAGAACTTCAGTGAGACGTTCCACAGTTTTGTCTCGGTGCGGTTGCGGAATGGACAGGGAACTTGGTTTTCTGCGCATGTTTTATCCAGATGCCCGCGCGTTCCCTTGGATGTCATACCAGGAAATGGATGTCCACTTGCTGCTCGCTCTGAATGCGGTCGCATCTGTGCCGTTGGCATTGGATTTTTCTCCGGGGTATTGTCCGGAAACCGATACAGTCCTTCCTTGGGAGTGGTTATCATTCCATGCCTACGTACTGTTTTAAGTATGTTCATGTTACCTGTTGGCGTCTGTGGTTGATGGCTGCCAAGCACGTCTCTTTGTGTTGCCTACAGCTGTATCCATGGTATATACACAGAAGCCTTGCTTGGTAGTTTAACATATTTTTCGATTTTGGCAGCATGTTACAAGGCGAGGACGCGTAATGCTCCTGACTACAACCATAACCCGGTTGGCAGAGTCCCGGTCTTGCGACCATTTGAACCGTATTGGGAAAACCCAGGTTCGCCTTGTAACATGCTGTCAAAATCGAAAAGCTGTATCCATGTAGTCTCTAGTAATCAAGATATGTCCTGGCTTCATATCTGTTTTTGTCACTGTATGTGCCATGTTGTCTCGACCTGCTCTCATTCGCTCTTCATATTGATGCTGCTTCAAGTGCTTGTGTTATGACCAACTAGCACACCAGACCATCTGCTCGCCAGCACACGCGGTGTTTGGACAGTAGTGAGCTGTCTGGCTTGCGCTGATAGCCGGCGCGTTTTGTTCATATTTGGCCGTTGGCGCTTGTTTGGATTCGTTCGGCGGTGTCCAGTGTAGCTTCCTGTGTTCTCTGTGGTGTCGCTGATAGTGTAGTGTGCCGCCTGTTGTTGCGTCGGTCTGTTGATTTGTATGTTAGGGATGTGTGCATGCATGCTTGCATGTTGTTGCGGGTGTCACTAGCGTACATGTGCGTGGTTGCGTCTGTCTGTTGATTTGTATCTTAGGGATGTGTGCATGCATGCTTGCATGTTGTTGCTTGTGTCACTAGTGTACCGTGTTGCGTCGGTCTGTTGATTTGTATCTGTGAGATGCGTACGTGCATGGCTGCAAGTTGCTCTTACTTGAGAATCGGCGGATGCACAGAGATTTTGTGTGCATTTTACTGGGTCACCATTCCGTTTCTTCCCTCTCGTGTTCCATCGCTCCAGTACATTGCATCATGCGTAGTGTTACACTGGTTGCAAGTGAAACGCGACCTCTGGCTCCGTGCACGTGGACACGCGCATGCGTGCACTAACGCATAGGAGGCGTTTGCATCTGGGCGCGTGTATTTTCGCTTGGTTCAACGTTGAAATGTGCTGGGAGACCTCTGACTACCACAGCTATGTTCAACTTCCTGTCCACTTGGTGGACGGCGCCGGGCTCCGTGGAATCCGCACGCCTTTATGGAGCCCGAAAGAACTATTCCACGACTGCTCATAGACTCCTGGAAAGGTGGTTGCTCCCCACAGTGGAGAGAAAAATATTGCCGAAGAAGTCACTACCACTATTTTGTACAATAATTCTTTTAAAAAAACATGCTGCATTGGTGTACTACAGTACTGACTCGGGGTGCCGAAGAACGAACGGGCTAAAATTTTGCCAAGCACAGCACACCAATGTATACACGGTGACTCAACTGTTCATAGACTGTAGTACATGAAAATAGGAACGGTCTATATGTAGGCTACGAGGCTGACCCTAATCTGTATGTTTCACTGCTGTGTGTCGGTGCAGGACTGGCGACGAGATCTCGCACATCAAGATCCAGAACACTGGCGACTTCTACGACCTGTACGGCGGCGAGAAGTTTGCCACGCTGTCCGAGCTGATCGAGTTCTACACGAAGTGCCATGGGCAGCTCAAGAAACTGGATGGTCAGGTGATTGAGCTGACCTATCCTCTGTTATCGAGCGAAGTTACCACAGAAAGGTACAGACAGTGTTTTGCTTTGTTTTTCTTTTTCTCTTACTATGCAGTAGAATACGAATAATACAGTGAAACCTGTCTAAGGCGACCGCTCAAGGGACCTTCAAAATGTGCTCACGGTGTTCTAGGCGGTGGTCTCCCTATCCAGGGCCATTTGAACAGGAAACAGCACCTGATCAGAGTGATCGCCTTGACGGGTTTTTACTGGAATTCCATTCTGAGCATGTTGAGAAACACGACTTGGCGGAATTTGGAGTTGTTAAGCGGGATTCACAGAAGCTTTTTTTGCGATGCGACGCGATCTGCGGCGGACGCGTGCGATGCGAACTCGCGAAATACCATTCACAGAAGAAGTCAATGATCTTGCTGATTTGGCTACGTCACCATGATATTCGCGCGGTTTGATACAACTTGTACAAATTTATAGGCAACTCTTGAACCTTTGTACAACTTTGCTGTAGAAAAGGTCAAAATCGTACGCCAAATCGCTTGTCGCATCGCAACGCAAAAGTTGAGCCAAGCTCAACTTCTGCGATGGCCTACGATGGCCCAGTTGCGTGGAGTGCGACATGGCTGCGATTTGGGGTTTTCCCGGTTTCGCGCCTGTCGCATCGCGTGTCGCATCGCAAAAAAGCTTCTGTGAATCCCGCTTTACTCCTGTTCACAGCGCAATCAAACGTGGCGCCTCTTGTATACACATGTCGTAGTCCGGCGGCCCGGAGTTAGGCCGCGGAACCAACATGACTAACCTACGACTATCCCATTACAAGGCCGTGCAGTGGTGGCCGTAACTATAATTACCTTATTAGACGTTCCGACACCACATGTACTCGCGAATCAGACATATTTAGACATGTTCGGGTCACACCACACCTGGTCACACACTCACTCGCCATGCCCGCACATATACAGCACCCGCATTCACATACACACACATACACACACACACACACACACGCCTATACTTTCACATCGAGACTCACATCTTACGGTCAGACATAATGGTCAAACGATAATTATCAAACAAGAAGGAAGAAAGTCGTGACTTGCCGTAAAGACGAAGTTGCGAGAGAGAGAGAAAAGGAAGGTGATAGCAATAATATCTAGTTGCGGCCATGGAAATCCATGGCCACGAGATTGCTGGTCCCGCATGCAATATCGTATCAAACCGTAGTAAATGACACCCTTAGCAAACAACGTTATGTTATAACGGTATTACCGTAAGGGGGAAAATACCGTGATTTGGGCTCGACCTTTAGCAAGATGCACGCTATTTTTAGTGCGCTGTTGCCACGAGAATAGCTTTTAGTTCGGGCGGTACAACCATTTATGTCACCATATACGCGATACAAGGTGAACTGAGTACAGACTATGCAATATTTGGCCAAAAAACGTACCGTTGGTCACAACGATAAATCAGCCCCCATGACGTTTTACGCTGCAGCTTCAACGCTATTTGGGTGATCAAGGTACGAGTACCGTAAAAAATAGCGTTACCGTTGTTTGCTAAGGGTGTCTAATATGTGTACGAACTGTTGCATAAAGAGCGGGAGCCAGGGGGGGGGGGGGGGGGGGGAATAACAGCGTATACCAAATAAGGAAGGCCCCAGGCCTTGTGTGAAGACATAAAACGAGAGAGCTTGGAAGCTCAGGGCCCTACGCTATGCTTTTTTGCCTTGATGACCTAGACAAATAAAAGCATAGGGATGTTATAAATTCTTTAAAAAATTCCTTTTTTTTTAAGACATAACCTGGGATTCGAACCCGCACTATCGCGCGCCCTGCATGCATCCCCCGATACACCTCGCATACATACTAATTCTTCCAAGTTGTTTCACATTGTGATCTTGCATTTGAAAGCCCTATTTGAATATGCATTGTGGCCAGCCGTCTTTGTTGGCACGGTACGGTAGGGGATAGGTACGGGACAGGTACGATCGAGGGTAATACGACACCGTCTCCCGTACCGTACCGTACCATCAAACACAGCTGGCCACAAACAGCTGCCCGCAATATTCAAATATGGCTTTCAAACGCAAGATAATAACGTAAAGCAACTTGGAAGAATGGGTATGAATGCGAAGTGTATGGGGGAATGCATGTGGGGCGATAGTGCGGGTTCGAATCCCAGGATATGCCTGAAAGAAAAAAAGGAGAATTGAAAAATTTATAACATCCTATGCTTTTTTGCCGTCAGATACGGATAGCGCCAGGCGTGACACAAACACACAAACAAACAAATACCAAATTAAAGCTGTGTGGACCCTGGCTAGCGCCAGACGTTATTGAAGTAACGTCTTCTGCATAGCTACGGGAATAAAGACGATTATGAACCCGTCTACGGGAGATAGATAAATAATTAGACACCTAAATAAGGCAGACTTGTCCCGTAGAGGCCTAAAAGGCACGTGTCAATAGTATGGATACGACATATCCCCCGGTGTCCTCCTCGTCTCGGGCGGCGGCATCAGTGGCATCAGGCTGGTAAGACGGAGTCAGGGTGGATGCCATGGGCTGCGGTGGGTCCGACTCATCTTGTTCGTGGACCTCTTGCAGCCGACTCGGTCGATGATGGAAACTTTTCAGCCGGTTGATGTGCACTATCAGCCGACGCGCCGTGGGCTCAGACAGTTTGATGCGGTAGGTGACGGCTGAGAGCTTCTCCTCGACTAGGTACGGTCCGTGCCAAAGTCTAGCAAACTTGGCGGTTGTACCCGTCGGAATAGCTGGCACCAGAAGCCACACTGATTCCTGCAGACATAGTGCGCCAGGCCACGCTCTAGCGTCTGGTTGAATCTTTCAACCAGTCCGTGTAAGCGGGGGGATATGTCGTTTCTGCTGCTTCTTCTTTTCGCGGAGTTTGAGCACCCGCTCCCAGTTACGCCGTTGGCGGGACGGCGAGGCATGCTTCCGCAGCTTGGTTCGGGCGGCGGTGTCCCGAACCGCCCGAGACCGTGGCGACTTGTTGGCGTTTCGCCGTTTTTTGAAGTTCTGGAATTTCTTCAGTGCCCGTCGGCCATCACTGTCGCGATGCGGGGCGGCGGCGTTCCGCGCCGCCCGTAGTTGCACCGTCAGGGTGTGACGGGACCCTACAGTACTGATGACAACACACACACAGCACACAATAGTATCGGATCCTGTTCACTGCGCCACATGTCGTAGTCCGGCGGCCCGGAGTTAGGCCCCGGAGCCGCGGAACCAACATGGCTAACCTACGACTATCCCATTACAAGGCCGTGCAGTGGCGGCCGTAACTATAATTACCTTATTTGACGTTCCGACACCACATGTACTCGCGAATATTTAGACATGTTCGGGTCACACCACACCTGGTCACACACTCACTCGCCATGCCCTCACATATACAGCACCCGCATTCACATACACACACGCCTATACTTTCACATCGAGACTCACATCTTACGGTCAGACATAATGATCAAACGATAATTATCAAACGAGAAGGAAGAAAGTCGTGACTTGCCGTAAAGACGAAGTTGCGAGAGAGAGAGAGAAGGAAGGTGATAGCAATAATATCTAGTTGCGGCCATGGAAATCCATGGCCACGAGATTGCTGGTCCCGCATGCAATAGCGTATCAAACCGTAGTAAATATGTGTACGAACTGTTGCATAAAGAGCGGGAGCCAGGTGGGGAAATAACAGCGTATACCAAATAAGGAATAAAGCTACGGGAATAAAGACGATTATGAACCCGTCTACGGGAGATAGATAAATAATTAGACACCTAAATAAGGCAGACTTGTCCCGTAGAGGCCTAAAAGGCACGTGTCAATAGTATGGATACGACATATCCCCCGGTGTCCTCCTCGTCTCGGGCGGCGGCATCAGTGGCATCAGGCTGGTAAGACGGAGTCAGGGTGGATGCCATGGGTTGCGGTGGGTCCGACTCATCTTGTTCGTGGACCTCTTGCAGCCGACTCGGTCGATGATGGAAACTTTTCAGCCGGTTGATGTGCACTATCAGCCGACGCGCCGTGGGCTCAGACAGTTTGATGCGGTAGGTGACGGCTGAGAGCTTCTCCTCGACTAGGTACGGTCCGTGCCAAAGTCTAGCAAACTTGGCGGTTGTACCCGTCGGAATAGCGCCACACTGCGTCACCTGCTGCAATCGTCACGGCCTTAGCGTTGCGATCACTGATATGCGCTTGATAACGGTGCACGTTGCCCAGGTGTTCCCGGACCTGCGCATGAGCGTCCTCCAGGCGTCGGCGGAGAGCACTCACAAATTCCGGCTGTGACGATACTGCGGATGCTTCTCCTGGCGGTAATCCAAATGCCAAGTCTTGAGGTAGGCATAACTCCCGACCAAAGAGTAGATAGCTTGGACTGTAGCCGGTACTAGACTGCGGCGTCGAGCGGTATCCCATCAAGAAGGCTGGCAACTTGATGTCCCAATCTCGATGATTCCTGCAGACATAGTGCGCCAGGCCACGCTCAAGCGTCTGGTTGAATCTTTCAACCAGTCCGTGTAAGCGGGGGGATGTGTCGTTTCTGCTGCTTCTTCTTTTCGCGGAGTTTGAGCACCCGCTCCCAGTTACGCCGTTGGCGGGACGGCGAGGCATGCTTCCGCAGCTTGGTTCGGGCGGCGGTGTCCCGAACCGCCCGAGACTTGTTGGCGTTTCGCCGTTTTTTGAAGTTCTGGAATTTCTTAAGTGCCCGTCGGCCATCACTGTCGCGATGCGGGGCGGCGGCGTTCCGTGCCGCCCGTAGTTGCACCGTCAGGGTGTGACGGGACCCTACAGTAGTGATGACAACACACACACAGCACACAATAGTATCGGATCCTGTTCACTGCGCCACATGTCGTAGTCTGGCGGCCCGGAGTTAGGCCCCGGAGCCGGGGAACCAACATGACTAACCTACGACTATCCCATTACATGGCCGTGCAGTGGTGGCCGTAACTATAATTACCTTATTAGACGTTCCGACACCACATGTACTCGCGAATCAGACATATTTAGACATGTTCGGGTCACACCACACCTGGTCACACTCTCACTCGCCATGCCCTCACATATACAGCACTCGCATTCACATACACACACATACACACACACGCCTATACTTTCACATTGAGACTCACATCTTACGGTCAGACATAATGATCAAACGAGAAGGAAGAAAGTCGTGACTTGCCGTAAAGACGAAGTTGCGAGAGAGAGAGAGAGAGAGAGAGAGAGAGAGAGAGAGAGAGAGAGAGAGAGAGAGAGAGAGAGAGAGAGAAAAGGAAGGTGATAGCAATAATATCTAGTTGCGGCCATGGAAATCCATGGCCACGAGATTGCTGGTCCCGCATGCAATAGCGTATCAAACCGTAGTAAATATGTGTACGAACTGTTGCACAAAGAGCGGGAGCCAGGTGGGGAAATAACAGCGTATACCAAATAAGGAAGGCCCCAGGCCTTGTGTGAAGACATAAAATAAAGACGATTATGAACCCGTCTACGGGAGATAGATAAATAATTAGACACCTAAATAAGGCAGACTTGTCCCGTAGAGGCCTAAAAGGCACGTGTCAATAGTATGGATACGACACACACACGTTGTGGCAGCTTTGTTCTGTCCCCTCGGAAAAACGCGATGCCGCGGCCGCGGCAAATTTCGCAGAAGTTGCCATCATCCGCGGAAATCACGGAATCCACACTTTTGCCCGCGGAATCTGAATTTTTTAGGGTAAATTACTAAAGTTACTACTCAGAAGGCAGCAGAAAACTACTTTGCGATCTGTTTGGGCACATTTCTCTCCAAGATTCTTCACTCTTATTCAGTTTGTGACTGCAAAGGATAGTATGAAAAGTGCTCCTTTATGCGACTATATTTGTAGTTGTCATATCCTCTACGAGGAGGGCGAAAAACTTGCAGAAAGTGCCGCAGATTTTTGATTTTACCGCAGAAAACCACCCTTTTCCCCGCGGAATTTGCCGCGGAATTTTGAATTCTTGGCCGCGTTTTTCCAAAGGGACAGTTTGTTAAGAGCAAGCAAGACACACTTGTAGTCTTGATCTGATAGGATGGGAAGATACGAGTATCGTTTTATGAGTCGAGTGGTGTAAAGCTGACCTGCACGAACAAAATTGAGTGGGCAACGATGGCTGGAGACCTCAAAACGCAAGAGTGAGGTTAAAAATGAATGACTATAAGATGGCAGTGTTAGTAAACTCTTTCCCTTGTCCAAAACGATGTTCTTGTTTGTGTGTGCGTGTGTGTGTTTATGTGTGTGTGTGTGTGTGTGTGTGTGTGTGTGTGTGTGTGTGTGTGTGTGTGTGTGTGTGTGTGTGTGTGTGTGTGTGTTCTGCAGATGGTTCCATGGTCATATCACAGGCACTGATGCCACTGCGCTGCTGGCCGAGAAAGGTCAGAATGGCAGTTATCTAGTGCGAGCAAGTATCAGCCACCCTGGAGACTACGTCCTTACTGCAAGGTAAATAATCGCAAACTCATATCTCTTTTTGTGCTGAAATACTTATGTACTATGACAATACTCTAATTTCAGAAATTTTCAGTGCTCAATATTTTCGGTATGAGGGCAACAGGCTAGGTTAGGTGAACAGAAATTTTCGGTACAGAGAAGCAGTTCCCTATTGGATTATGTGTGTTGTGTGTTAGTGTTTGTTCGGTGTATTGAAATTTTAGGTATGAGACAGACGCACCAAAAGTACCGAAAATAAAAGTACACCGAAAATTTGTGAAATTACAGTACAGTCAGACCTCGCATAACCGCACACATCCGTTTTCCACAAAAATATCCGGATAGGCGAGGGAACCGGATAATCGAACACACACACTGTATGTATGCATGGCATATGCTGTAAATTGGTAACCAACGATTTTCTGCCGGATGGCGAGGGATCCGGAGAAAAGAGGACCGGATAGGCGAGGTCTGACTGTATTCAGAAGTTGAGGGAAGGGAAAACGGGAAAGTCTGAAGAAAAATTGACTCTCACCACCAGCAAGAGTTCATAACCCCCAAGAGTGTGCAACGGGCATAGACCCAGCGCTCGGCGAAATTCCTACATTTAATACGTCATGCGCAGCTTGTCATCCGAGGTAAATTTGGGTTCTTTGCGATTTATGGAAACTATACCCTGAACCGCTCCTAACTCAAGGCTGTAGCCTCGACTTTTCGAAACTTTTTTGAAGACATTTCGGACGTACAAGTCGTACTTTCTCAAAAACAAACTCTTTCTCCAAGAATCCATGGACTAGACATCGCGACAGGAAGAAGTGAGGACGCTGTTAAAAATATTGCATTGCCGTCGAGGACAATCATTCTGATAGCTGTGCAACTCAGCCGAAAAATGCTCCTTCGACGTATTCTCTCAAGTTCCTCAACCATTTGAAATCATCTTCGAGGAAAGCACCGGAAATATGCCGATGGCCTGGGGAAGAAATTGTTCTTGAAGAGACGGACTTAGTGACTGCACTGGTGAAAGAAGAAGGCCATGAAGAGTCACCATTGCATCGAATAAATAAATAGTTTTGTCTTTAGGATCGTGTGCTTTGTTTCACTTATGCTTCTTGAGGCTCAGACTCAGACTAGAATCGCAGTTTAGGCAGTTTACCCTGGGGAAGCATCCTGGTTTTTACTGTAGATTTTAGAAGAATTCATCGGCGTGACTCATCGCACTGCACCAAAAATGACGCAATGAAGGAATTCCGCCGAGCGGGCTTCCATACAGGGACTGATCAGGAGCTGCACACTCTTGGGGGTTATGAACTCTTGCCACCAGGAATCGATGCAGGGACCTTCGCTTGAGGCCAGCGATGCTCTGACCACTGAGCTATGGTGTAGCTGTCATCCCAGCAGAGACGTTAATACTGTGACAATAGACACCCTTAGCAAACAACGTTATGTTGTAACGGTATTACCGTAAGGGGGAAAATACCGTGATTTGAGCTCGACCTTTAGCAAGATGCACGCTATTTTTAGTACGTGGTTGCCACGAGAATAGCTTTTAGTTCGCGCGGTACAACCATTTATGTCACCATATACGCGATACAAGGTGAACTGCGTACGGACTATGCAATATTTGGCCAAAAAACGTACCGTTGGTCACAACGATAAATCAGCCCCCATAACGTGTTTACGCTGCAGCTTCAACGCTATTTGGGTGATCAAGGTACGAGTACCGTAAAAAATAGCGTTACCGTTGTTTGCTAAGGGTGTCTAATGTTTAGATGTAGCCCAAATTTCAGTATCTACACTCATTGGTTGCATGCATACCCCTTTTCATCGTCTCTCTCATAGATAGTACATATTCTGATGCTTTGTTCATGTGACATCCGACGTATTTTCACTGCTAATTTTGGTGCGTTTGGAACTCACAATGAAACGTTTTGTGCAGTTCGACATCTCCATGGTGTCTCGGCTGATTGCACGGGCATTCTTCTTGGCAGTTGGTTGAGTGCATGCCGTAATGTCGCGTAGTAAAGCCGGGCTTATTCCTGACATCTCCATGGTGTCTCGGCTGATTGCACGGGCATTCTTCTTGGCAGTTGGTTGAGTGCATGCCGTAATGTCGCGTAGTAAAGCCGGGCTTATTCCTGTAGAAGCCAATGTAGGGGCTAGGCTTCTTCTATTCAAACCAGGTATTTCTATGTATGTCAACACTGAAACCAGGCTCATGTGGTGACAGTGTATCTTGGGGGTCAGGCTTCTATTCCAAACAGGCTTCTATTCAAGATAGGCTTTAATATAAGACACTGCGGTAGTTGGCTAGATAGTTACAACTAGCGACTGTGTCCCTGTGTAGCACGCTTCTCGCCATTCCGTAGAAGAGTGCTTGTAGCTAGTTAGGTGGTTTTGGGGGGACTGCATTGTGTCCATGGTGGAATTTGTGCATTTGAGGTGTTTATAAAAATGATGCGTGTGAACAATCTTTGTTTTGGCTTTTTTTTTTAAACCTTTGGCAACGTCTTGTTGACCGTGTTGATATTGTTTGCATTCGCTTTGCCCCTTCTGCGTGTCTGGCAGGTGCGAGGATCGTGTGACTCATATCATGATCCGCTTCAAGGTAAGTTGACCGGTAGTACCGTTGGTTCATTCCATAAGTAGTGATCACCATCCGTTGCTGAGTTGCACACACACACACACACACACACACACATCTGACTGCTGGCCGCTTTCTTTGTCGCTTGATTGTATTGTGTTCCTGTGGTTCCATGCCTGTTTCTCACGTTTTTGCTGAGCTTGGATAAAAAAATATTACGTCCGGTAAATGTGCAGTGAAACTTGTCTAAGACGACCACTCAGGGGACCAAAATGTGGTCTCTGTTACCAGGTGGTCTCCTTATCCAGGGTCATTTGACTTAAAATAGCACCAAGTGGTCTTCTAGGACAGGTAGTCGCCGTATTCGAGTGGTCACCTTGATAGGTTTTACTGTATACTGGTAAAGTACTGTAAAACGTGTAATTTTCGGTGTAACTTTAATTTCGGTGATTTCGGTAGAGAAACCAAGCACCTGAATTTAAATTACACGTAAAAGGCACTAGGAGTATGCACTGTATGTACGCTGGTCGCCTAATTCTACATTACACCTGAAACCTGGCGGGTCCCTGACACCGACATTTTAATGCACCTAAAATTACATGCTTTACTGTACACGGAACAACAAGGGCAAGCAAGGCCAGTTTGGCACCACTCCGAGTTTTATGCTTACGCAATCATCAGGCAACATGGGGACCGGTAAAGCACTGATAATTTGCCGCCACTCCGATTTTCCTCCCTATCGATTTTATCTGATTCGCTCATGCTTGCCGTTATATGCTACAGGACGCCAGGTTTGACGTGGGAGACGGCGAGAGTTTCAGTAGCCTCCCCGACCTAATTGACTTTTACAAGAAACACCCGGTGGTCGAGACCAACGGAAGCGTTGTACAGCTCCGACAGGTAAGGATATAGCCATGTGGATCAGGGCGATCCTTCACCTCACTGCTGGGGTAGTTGTGTATGCAGACAATCCGGCAACGGATGCACACCTCCGGAGCACATGTTACTTGCAAGTTCTCCGAGGTGGAGCCCCGGACCGGACAGGATAGAACAATTCAATATGAACAGTACATGGATTGTACCTTTCCTTGCTGCGCAGTGCGTGGGCAACCCTGTCTTCCACACATTTGTTTAACTCAATAAATATGTTGATGAGCCACTAGTGATATTCTGCTCTTCGTTACGGGAACGTGGCACGGAGAATCGCGGGAACTCTCTTCGCGTTCCCATAACGTAAAGGAAACCTGTTCTGCTCTACGTTCACGTAAAGAAATCACGTGGAACGTGTACTGGGAGTTTCCCATTCCAAATTTGACAGTTTTCTGCCTGATTCAAACGATGCTCGGCAGATCTGTATGCATTTTCTTTGCACGAGCCACAACGTAGCGAACCTCATCTCCGCGTAGAAATCTGGACCCAAAACACGAGAAGCTGTAGACTCTAACCCAGACACCCGTTCTCTATGTGATTTCTCTACGTTTCACGTATAGCAGAACCTCGCTATTGTTCGTTTCGCCCCAAATCGGGACAGTCACCCCATGGCGGACATACTGACCTTCTTTGCCATACAAACAAAGGCGAAGTGGAATGCAATGTTTGCCACCATGAGGAGTGCGGGTATCACTGTGGAAAATACGGTAGCATAGTTGAAGTCTTGATAATGCTACAGTGTTTCGATCTGGATCCAGTTATCCGTGTATAGCTGTGTTCTATGGCTGACTGGTGTGTAAACACGTGTTTGTTCTATGGCTGACTGGTGTGTAAACACGTGTTTGTTTTCCGCTACCGTCTAGCCATTCAACGCCACCAAGTTTAGCATTAAGGGAATCAATGAGAGAGTCGAACAGCTCGAGTCATCGGAGAACGACGACAAGAGCAAGGGTGGATTCTTCGAGGAGTTTGAAGTAAGTATGAGGTGTGTACATGCCCTGATTGCGGGTCAAACTCGTACAAAATTTGTGTTTCTTCTCATACTTCATCCACTTGCATGTACTAGCAACTACTACTCTTCTGTAGAAAGTATAGAGCCCCCCCCCCCCCCCCCCAATCTGACTTAGCACTAACATGTTCTTTTGAGTTGTGTTGCAGTATGACTTGAGTCTCATGCGAGCTGTTTCATTTTAGGTAAAGATTGTCGGCACCGAAGTTACCGAAAATTAAACACCACCGACATTGTTCTGCTTTTACAGTACTGTACAGCAGCTGTGGATTCATTTAACGTTGGCTCTTGTACACTTGAGATCTATCCAACCCAACCGAGGTGTGTTTCCGCTTCTCTCCATATGTATTTGTTATGCAGGAACTTCAGGCGAAGGAGGCGAATCACACATTTAGCCGTAAAGAGGGTGCGCGTCCGGAGAACAAGAAGAAGAATCGCTACAAGAACATCTTGCCATGTAGGTTTCTCTGGCACTCAAATTCTCCCCGTGCGACTTTTGAGAGCCAATGACTGTCTTTCCAGTGTTTGGTTTTTGGTAGTGGTGAAACGAATGTCAAAACCTACTAGTCGAATATTCTTCAGCTTAACGAACGAATGAACGAATATTCTTTTGGTAACACAGATGACATCACATGCCCTCCTCTCAGTTATTTGATGGATATTGTCAATATTAATATATTATTAGGTATGACAAACGGTAGTGCCACGTACAATATACTGCCACATAAGGCTACTTCGAAGTTCATAAATGTTATGTGCAACATTGGCAGTCCAGTATGGACATACATGTGCAAACATGCAGTACAAAGTCACAGGCAGGCTGTACGCACTGCACTGTACCGTGTTCGGCGTCCATGTATGTACAGGCACTGCTTTCAAAGTGACGTAACGAATACTCGAATGTGACTTAACGAATATTCGAATGTGACAAACCGAACGAATGTTCGAATATTCGTTTCACCACTAGTTTTTGGTGATATTTGTCGCTACTTTTGGAGTTACCTCGCTGTATCAGCCTCAGTCCTGCGCTTTCCCACGATACTATGAACTGCATCAGTGCACATAACATCGCACTTAACCTCTGTGTGTGTGTGTTTGTGTCACTGTGTGCATGCGTGTGTGCGCGTATGTGTGTGTATTTGTTTGTGTGTGTGCTGGTGTTCCTTGCACCTCAGTTGACCATACCCGCGTGGTGCTGAAGGGAACAGATCCCAGTGTGGTTGGATCAGATTACATCAATGCCAGCTATATCTCCGTAAGTGATCGTGCCCTGAGCGAGAGGCATAGAGAGTGAGCTGTGTGTGAACACACACGGGCACGCAGAACATTCCATGAACCTGTTTCGATTGGCAAGCTGATGATGGCGATGAGAACTGGTTCAGGCGACAGATTTGCTCTTTGGGTCGCACTTTGCCTAGCGCAACTATGCTCCTTGACTGACATTGATCTGTGATACATTCCCACCCAATGTTGTACCGGCGATATCCAGTGTTGTCTTCTCCCTGTTCCCTCTCTCCGTCTTGCCCGCAGGCCAAGGAGTTGAACCTTCAGAACCAGTATATCGCAACCCAGGGCTGCCTGCCAGGAACGGTCGATGACTTCTGGCAGATGGTCTGGCAAGAAAACAGCCGTCTAGTTGTGATGGCAACCAGTGAAGTTGAACGGGGCCGGGTAAGTTGTTCACGTCGCTCAAAGTAAACTGGTGACCGGTGTAAAAAAAGGTTTTCTTCTCCATTCCTGAGGAACTCATGACGACTGCACCCGGAATGTGGCTTTCAGCACTTGCACCAGTGGTTGTGAGACTTATCTCCTCCTTCCACCACCATTAGGTGTCACAACTGCCACTAAGTTATACCAAGAGTATAATAAATATAACCCCCCAAGAGTGAGCAACTCTGCATATGGGGTCTCCGGCGGCGAAAACTCGCATCACGTGTCTCAGGTACGTTCGTACTACTTGCAAACGAAGGATAGCGTGCGCGCAATCCGAATATCTACCATGATCATGCTGGGGATTTGCGTACCCACAGTGAGTTTCTGTCAGAGAGTGCTTTCTTTTTAAAGTTTATTACTCCGCTGCTCGCTGAAAACGGGCTGGAAACGTACAACTGCGACACTACACCACATGGTGTGAGTTTCACTGTCAGCGTACACCTTAGAAAGGGTATCAGGAATAGCAAACTCTTGGGGGGTTATATGCTCTTGGTTATACCCGGATGGGTGGTATAGTGTTAGTTGGTTAAATCCCCACATGTCAACTCATCTGTTTATAAACATCCCATTCAAGTGTGAACGACGGCTTTGGAGACAAAAAGCTTCAATAGAGCAACAAGGAGGACGAATTGAGCTGCACGCATTCCTTATTGGTCGACAATACCTCTCGACATGCATAATATATGGACAAAGGAGGACGAATTGTGCTGTAAGGACTCCTTATTTGTCGGCATGAATACAATTACCGGTGTATGCATATCAACAAATAAGGAATGTTTCTGGCACAATTCGTCCTCCTTGTTCTGTCCCCTTGGAAAAACGCGATGCCGCGGCAAATTTCGCAGAAGTTGCCATCATCCGCGGAAATCACGGAATCCACACTTTTGCCCGCGGAATCTGAAATTTTTAGGGTAAATTACTAAAATTACTACTCAGAAAGCAGCAAAAAAACTACTTTGCGATCTGTTTGAGCACATTTCTCTTGCCAGTGCAGGTCTCTCCAAGATTCTTCACTCTTATTCAGTTTGTGACTGCAAAGGAGAGTAAGAAAAGTGCTTCTTCATGCGACTAGCTGTCATATCCTCTAAGAGGAGGGTGAAAAACATGCAGAAAGTGCCGCAGAGTTTTGATTTTATCGCAGAAAATGCCGCAGAAAACCCCCCTTTTCCCCGCGGAATTTTGAATTCTTCGCCGCGTTTTTCCAAAGGGACAGCTTGTTGCTCAGTGTATCTACCCCTTTGTGTCATCCAAAAAAATACTGGTAAAACTAGATTGTCCACGGCTCACGATGTTCATCTGTCTTTGATGCGGGTAGAATCACGTACCGTGGATAGGACAGCTGCTCTTATTGCCCAGTGCAGTGGTATGGTGCTGAGGCTGGCACGGATGCGGTATTGACTGGGCTGGATTTTATCTGCCTGTACAATGGTCTCTGTGTTTTGGTGCCTGTCTGCCTGTTTTTCGCAGAGCAAATGCACACGCTACTGGCCAGAGATCAACAAGACTGGAAACTACCGTAATTTCTGCGTGACGCACACGAAGGAGGACCAGCTGTCTGATCACATCCTGCGCGTCTTCAAGCTAGAGAATACGCGCTGCGACGAACCGGCGCGCTTCATCTACCACTTCTACTTCATGTCGTGGCCGGATCACGGAGTACCTGCCCAGCCTGGTCCCGTCCTTGCTTTCATGGAGGACATCAACGAGAGGCAGCGGACGCTGGAGCGCAGCGTCCGCGGCGGAATTGGCCCAATGGTTGTCCACTGCAGGTGAGTGAGTGCCTGTGCAAGGAGGTGGATGTAGGCGCAGGCAAGCAGTGGGGATTCTCCACTGCTTGCCTGCACCACTGACACAATCTACTTGTGCAGTGTGTTGGACATACTGCACAAATGCACTGATTTTCCCATGTGCTCACTTTTGATTCACGTACCTATCAGATCACCTGCAGATTTTCCTGCCGTGTGATTCACCGATAGCTGGCCTGAGACTAGCTAGTTTGGGTAGTTCAAACTGGTTAAGCGTTTTCGGCGGCATGCATGTATACCAGGAATTGGCACCAGAGTCAGTGCACCGAGCTATTAAAATAATGCGTTTAAAAAAACTTATCGCATTCCTCGTACAATTTTCAGTAGGGGTGAAGCGATTGCATCGTGATCTTTCGAGCAAGCCTTGTCACTATCCACTGTGCAGAACACTGTCGATTTCAGCTGGTGTCTTCTTCCGGCATAGACCAAGGATTCTGCCCATGCAAAAATAGTAAAATACCCCCCCCCCCCCCCCCCCCACACACACACACACACACACACACTCACACACTCACACAAACGCAACCAGAGAGTAAAATTGCCTAACTCTTGTCCGAATTTTCTAAAATCACTGCTGCATTCCTGTGTACCACCCCATCTTTGTTGTCCTTTCTACAGTGCCGGGATCGGCCGTACAGGTACTCTGATCATTATTGATCTGATCATCACAGCCGTAGCTATCTATGGTAAGCACCTACTCTCATACGCCCGCTTTGCCCTACGGTTTCCGTGTTCCTTTGTCTATGCGTTAACATGTGTGTGTGTGCGTTTGCATGTGTACGCGTGTGCCTTGCCGAGTGACTTTAAGGCCCTGCCTTCTGCAGTGGTAAAGTCGTATAATGTTATTATGCACAATATTTTTCTGCTTGTGTCCTGCCTCTCTTGTGGATAGGTATTGAGACGGACGTGGACATAATGAAGACAATTCAGTCGGTGCGCACACAGCGGTCGGGCATGGTGCAGACCGAGGCCCAGTACAAGTTCTGCTACCTGGCCGTCAAGCACCACATCGACACGCTCAAGACGCGCATCCAGGCCGAGCAGGAGGCGGACGACAGCTCGCTGTACGGAAACATCGCCGGTGCCTCCAACCTGGTCCCCGGCGGCCGTGTACTGGGCATGCGATGATGCAGCACATCAACCTAACCTCACCGGTCCGAGTCGGTCTTTTTTTTAAGTCACCCGGTCTGGTTTAAGGCATCATCATCATCGTCCTTCTTCGTTTCTTTGTCAAATTACTCTGTGTCCAGGTAAAGACGAAACCACTAATACCACCTCCCATCGTTGTATATTTATTTTATCAAGTCATGAAACACACACATCCGTTTTTTCCCCGATTTTTCTTCGACAACCTGCGACTTGTAAGGTGTCTTTGGAAGCAATGGTGGCGGTGACACCAGCGCGTATTGTATGACTGTGTCCTGCCTGCCCCAGCTCCTTGCAAGCTGGCCTGCGTTCTCTTCCGTTTTTTTTCTAACCGGCTAACAGCCGCCCTTCCTTGCTGCAGCCCCATCATATTGATAAAACCTGTAACCTGTCCTAAACGGATCTTTGTGCGAGCGACGTTGTCCATAGCGACCTTTTATCCATTTCAATGATTTCATCTTTTCTTTTCTTCTTTTTTTTAACGCATTCTGACTGTGATTGCTTGCTTCTGCTCTCTAAGCTGCATCATAACAGATTGTTGCGCAGCAAGCTCACCAACCATCTGTTCATGTCCTCTGCTTTCAAAACCTGCCTGATGAGCTTTTGCCGAAAATCCCGCCGTTGTGTTTTGCCCACGGCCCGTGGCGCTCTCTCTCTCTCTTGTTTTTTTCCCCGTTGCCAGCGACCTCTCGTTGCATTCTAAGATGCTGCCTCCCTGCTGGCGTCATTCTCGTTTTGAGTTCCCTGTGTGCAAAGGTCTTGATCTGTAGATGGTCAATATGTGCCAGACTTGCCAGTGTTAACCGACCACTGTACCTTGTGACAAGCGCACGCGATGGGAGTTAGGTGCTCCCGCTTGTGTGTACTGAGAACCAGGCGACGTCGACGGTGTAACCATGATAACGCGTGTATTTACCTGTCCTCTGTGAACAATTTTACATCCACGGACTGCAGAATTTCCGCAGGATCTAGCAGTGTCTGCGGGATATTGCAGAAAGGGACGAGAAACTGAAGATCCGCTGTGTTTTCTACAGCCAAACACCAACCTGATAATGCCGTTCAAACAAAATTTGCGGGACAATTTTTGTAGTTTTCTTTCATGGCCCAGTATTTCAAATCTTTACAATTATAGGGTCCAGTATTTATAGCTAGGGACAACGAATTTTGGTGCAGTTGTGTAGATTCTATTTAAAAGTGTTATGCTCAATTGAACCATTTGAATGACAGACAGATTTGCAGAAGTGCCATAGAATTCTGCGGTGAATTTTGGTGTTTCGTCAAAGAATTCACAGGGACTGAGTTATCATTACCACCGTCATAAACAAACATAGCAGTAGGGAGAGTAGTTGCATTTGTACAGTGCATGTACAAGTGCTGGTTTCATTGTACATGGGAGTGTAGGCATGCCCATGGATATGGATGTGTGGAATACTGAAGATCCAGGGTGGTATACCAACGGATTTCTGCACAACTGGCGCCACAAGCTGTGAAAGGAGACATAAACTTTAAAGTAGAGGTACGCAAGGGAACCGATACCACGCAGTCAGCGCTGATTGGCAGGCAACATTTTTCCAGTTGCTTGGCAGCTGACAAAGAGTCTTCTATACTACAAGTGCAGGCATTCCTAAGAATCCTTGCACTTGATCATAAATCCCGCCCCTGCCGTTGTGCGGAATTCTCGCGGGACAGAACAGAGCATATCAAGTAAAGTCAGACCTCGTTTACCCGGTCCTCTTTTATCCGGATCCCTCGCCATCTGGAAGAAAATCGTAGGTCACCGAAGAAAATCGTTGGTCACCGATTTACAGCATGTGTCATGCACACATGCAGTATGTGTGTTCAATTACCCGGTTCCCTCGCCTATCCGGATACTTTTGAGGAAAACAGACGTGTGCGGTTAGGAGAGGTTTGATTGTACTTCAGTTCAAAGTCTAACCAATATCAAGAGTACAAACATGGCATCTAGCTTGCTGATGTGCAAAGGCATCATTGCAAGAAACTACAATAAAAAAAACATCAAATGTCGTGTAGTCAATCTAGCATGGGATATACATCAACAGCTAGCGGTCAAGACGGAATGGCGAGGGAGTTGTGGACTCCGGCTAGGTACACAATACAGGGCGTGAATGCTCCAGGCACATACGACGTCAACTAATGTTTCTATGCGATAGTCTACAAAAGTGTTGCATCAGCCAAGCTAGCAGTCAAAAGTAATAAAAAAAAGTTGACCGCTGATATGGCTAGATGGGTTTCCTCGGCAAACTAACTTCAATATCCTATCATTATTTTGAGTAACAGTTGTACAACATGATGCAGAGCTAGGTCAGTTCCAGTCAACAATGTCATGTAGCTTAAAACATGTACTTCAAAATAAGAAGTACCTACTCTTTCAGCTCCATTCTCAACGTCCAGCATTAGAAAGCATAATATAATCGCACTGTGCAATCCACAGAGATCTCATAAACGTTCTGGTGCACCCTAAGGTCATATCAAGATTCTTCGTGTGACGCGTTGAGAAAGCACAACACCGCCTGTTCGCATTGTGCCATTCAAATACGCCGCCCCGACCGCCCGACATAGTGCCGACAGCATTTCAGGACGGAGTTTATCAACAATGTAGTTTGTGCATAGTCAGAAATGAAATCGTCAGCAATGGAGCACTAGACATCAGCAGACATTCTTGCAGAGACTACTTGTACTTGGAGTGCAAGTGCTAATGCTCCTCGGCTTGACTATCGTCGGTGAAGTCATTTAGAGATGACATGGAGCCAGCGCTGGACTGCGAAGCACCGAGTTGCCGATGGCCATCTTTCATGGCACCCGTTATGGTCGTGGTAGCTGCTAGACCAGTCCTTCTTGCAACCCCCACACCGGTGCTGGTAGCCTGCGCGGCGGGCTTGCGGGTAGAGAGCTGTGCGAGGCGACGGTGAACGGAACGCAAGTCTCGCTCATGCTCTCCCTGTGTGAATGGTGGACACCGGACCAGGAGAGAATGACGGAGAGAGAGAGAGGGAGAGAGAGAGAGAGAGAGAGAGAGAGAGAGAGAGAGAGAGAGAGAGAGAGAGAGACACACACACACACAACGTTTTTGGGTGACCATTATGATGAAAATCCGGTGATTAGTTCTGTCAAAACTGAATACACAGGAGGATAGTGTATGCGCCATTCCACAGGGAGACAGAACTCAGTGACAGTAATGAACACATTTTAATGCCTTGACTGACCGTGAATGGACAGCAGGAAGACAAAAGGAAAGGCTAAGCAAGCGGGAGAGCATCAGATGGCAGCCGATACACAATTCATAAAGAGACCAAACCGGCATGTATCACATTTGGGTTTTTGCCAGATGGCGAATTATACACTGAGCAAATTTTGAGCAACTCATAACCTTCAAATGCAAGGCATGTACGCTTCTCGTAGGCTGAAAATTGAAATACACAAGAAGCATTGATCTTTCGAACGACCAACATCTGCGATGCGTGTTTTTCTTCTTCTTTTTGTCTTGCACTATGGCCGTGCACAGCCAACTCTGCACTGGTTACGGCTAATGTGAGGTGTGAGAGAGAACAAATGCAAAAGCACGCTTACGTTGGTAGCCGCGGGCTCCTTTGCATCGCTGTCACTAGCTGCCAGATTGGCCAGCGGTGGTCCAGGTGTCGGTGGGATCGTCGGCAGGCTTGCCTTGCCCGGCTGTCCAACGCCATGCAGGATAAAGTTGAATTCACCGTGGCGACGGAGAAGCTACCACGACGCACATGATAAATGTGAACATGCGCATGAGGGCATGTCATTGTTTCTTTGCTTTTAACATAGAGACTATTTAAAAAAATTCACGGTTCGCGTGAGACTCGGCTAGAAGCCGGGCTTTCCGCATCCGTAGGAACGCCACCACCCTTCAAGGATCAAGGCTATTATAGAGACTATTATAGACGTGATAAATGACACTTAAACACTGTGAAGATAACAACGAGTTCTTCTTAGCAAGGAAAGCCTTTGATAATGAAGTTGGTTGTTCCCACGAGGAACACACGCTTCCTGCCGAATTTGATACTTGACGGACTCACGACTGCCATCCGGAGCACACGAGGAGCACGTCGCACCTGCCACTCCCTGCTCAATACACAGTGTTTCGGGGAATTCAGTGTGTGTTCCTCGTTGAAACAACCATCTTCACGACCAATACCACCGAAGTCGCAACTTCTATTCTTAAAGCCTTTGATAAGTTCTAGTATTTTCGAAAATTGCAGCACATAGCCATACCAAACCCTTGTCTACACAAAATCGCTTTAATTATTCCAAATTTTCGCCCAGGAAACCATTATCAGGGAGCTTCTACGATTCTCTTATCAAGAACAGAGATATGAAAAACCAAGCACATGATTGTCTGACTGTAACGCTGAAGAGAACAAGCGAGTCTGGGTAACGGCATTAAGTACTCAGCCAAGTACGTTCAAACGCATGCCGTCAATGCTAGGTCATGCCAATATAGTTACATATACCACAGGCGGCTATCAATATTGTTTGCACCCTCAGTTTAGCCCGCGGGCTGTGGAGGTGGAGGTGGGGGGGGGGGGGGGGGGGTCTTGTGATCCATACCTCCTTGAGTTTGTACTTGAGACTGTCAATTTCGCCTTGCATCCGACTCCTAGAAACAGAGAAATCACAGAGCATCATCTAAAGTACAGTCATAGAAATGCACCGCAGTGCTCTTTGCAGCATTGTCTGAGATAATACTTTGACTGCATGTGTTTTGTGTGTTTGCTCTTCTCATAGCGAGGCTTCAACTTCCTACAGTATACAAATTCTTGCAGTACACAAATCTAATGGTACGGCAGTCAAACGTTATCCTCTCATTGGCACAAACGAGAATAGTTTCTGTTTGCTAACATGCTCAGGGACAGGGCGGGAGAGATGGCCCTGATGGATGCCAAGTATTGCACGCAAAGACCTATAGACACCAGGAAACACAAACTGTACAGACAGGTGATACTGTCATGATATTGGCCACCGCTGCAAGCAGCCGCTTGAAATGTCACGCTCCCAATTCATTGTGTTGTTGCACTGACTGCAGGACATGATCATAGGCCGACTTACCGCACATGTTCCTTCTCCTGCTCCACATGCAGCTGTCTGGCCTGCAGCAGTTCAATTTGCTCCTGAAGTTCTTGTTCCCGGCACTGGCCCTGATGCCGTATCTGTCAATCGCCGGGTGCACAGAGCAGGAGAAACAAAGGGAGACTCGTATAGCTGTAAAATAAGAATGCTGGTAATTCAGTTGAGAGCGCTATTTTAATGCATACATGCACACTCCAATACTCCTAGGGTTGACTAGAAATCTATCTGAATTTGGTCGGGTTTTGGTCAGCACTTCAGAAAGTTGCCCAAGTTTGGCCTAAAGTCAAGACCACTCGCAAAGTAATATAATTACTACTCAACTCCAGTACTGCCCAGCAGCTGCACACGGACACATGGCGTATATGTAGTGCTCACGCACGCGACATCATTTCGACAGGGAAACGAATGGTAGGCAAGCATGGACTGGGAAGAGCGAACACGAGTACACTTAGTGCATGGAGTGGGGAGAGGTAACTGACCGCATGGTTATGGCATACCATTTTTAGGGGGTCAAACCTGCACTGTATTTTACAAAAAAAAGGGCTCAAATCTCCCCTGTTGATCATAGACTATACGCACCAAACATTTGTTTTTCTGGAATCAAATACACTCGGACGTCTCTTATCCGGGCACCTTGGGACCGGGCACTGCCCGTATCTCAGATTTGCCCGTATCTCAGGATAACTCATCTACCATGTATGATATCATTTTTTGAAGAAGTGTATTTGGCACGTATTGCACATGTTGAGGATACAAAAGGAACCCATTGATAAAAATGTGGGGATTACATAGGTTGGCAGTGAAACATAAGCACTTCCACATACGGAAAAAAAGTTCAAAAAACCCAAATTCGACGCATTTGTGCTATAGGAACTCAAGCTGAAGGTGCCCGGTATAGAGACGTGCCCGTATCTGAGGCGTCCGGATAAGAGGCGTTTGAGTGTACAACTCAAGTGAAATTTGCCTCCAAGCGGGTTGTGGCTCAAGTCAGAATATGGTCGCATTCATCTGTTGACCACATCACTTCGACCGCTTTCAAGTACATGTACCCAGTTGGGATTTCCCTAGCTTGCGCCTAGATTGCATGCTATCGATCTACAACCCCCCCCCCTTCCTTTCGCCACGATTCCGGTCATACACCGTGTACCTAATATGTTCTCACCTTCTTGGCCTTGGCTACTGCTCGCTGCAGCTTGTTCTGCACGTCGGTGTTCGTCGCCTGAAGCTCTTGCAGTCGCGCCTGCACTCGTATGTCCTGCTGCTGGTTAGTTAACCTGCATGGCCAGAACCGTAGAGCATAACAAGTCGTGAAGATGACGTCATGCTACGGGTACATGCATGCTGTGGTGCTAAGTCAGTTACAGGAATGAAGTCATCAAATTTGCTGCACCTCCATACATAGTCAGTACACCATCATTGATAACGGTGAGGCCTGTGATGTTATCTGCATAAAAAGCCGTCGATCCTACGCGTAGAAAAGGTGTAGCAAACTGCCTGAAGGGTGGTCAATGCGCAATGCGCAGACTGCGACTTTATACATCATTGGCTGATGATTGCTTCGATGATTTCTTTGCCATGAAACTTTAAGTTACACCAGTTTTTCCGTGACTTGGATCATAGTCTCTTACATAATTATCTTATCATGTAAACTAGTTCAAACTGCTACTAGCACTGACCTGAGCTCTTCCAACTGCTGTTCACCCTCCCTCTCCTTGGCATGTAGCTCATGTCTGGCACTATCTGCAGCAGTAAATTCAGAATCCAGTATAGCACGTCATGCGTGGTCAAAATCTGAGAGAAATCAGCCTAATTCTGGGGCTTTAAAAAATCATTGAGAAAGGAAAATTTGAGAGATAATTCGAACATGGGAATCTGTAGTCTTTCTCCAAGGACACAGGGATACAAGGTTTGTTAGAAATTCCCAATTGCACATGCTCCGTATTCGGACTTTGAGCCTGCAACATTATATCGGGCACTCCAACATATGCCATGGATGTAAAAAAAAAGAAAAGAAAAGTGGGTGGACTGGAACGGGATTAAGACATGTTGTGGCATGGAAACTGAGGGTTTCAGAGCATGCACAGTGTTCTCTACATCGGTGTGTGCCAAAGAAGCTGCAGCGCGGCGGCGTCCCACAAGCAAATGCCTTCCAAAGGTGCTTTACACTGAAATTACATTGGGTACTCCCCAACAGCCTACAGTAGAGCCGTGCGCCCAAGAGCATTGTTTCCAAAGTGTGGCCTGGGACCGGCGGTCTCATTTTTCAGCACTCTGGCTGCGTTCTTATAGCACGTTCTTAGAAACAGCTCGTACTAAATCAGATGTATTCTGAAAGCTACCAGAAAACCAACACCACCATTCTTAATTGAATCATTTGGACTTCCAGGATATGTGGTGAGTGGTGCTCTGTAGACTCTTTCGGCCCAAGAGCGTTTGGCTCAGCATCCAGAGTCAAGGCCGTGACTATACAATATTGTTCTTATCCAGAAGGGTGTATGCAGACATTTTGGTTTAGGGACTCGCTCACCAAGTTCTTGCTGGAGAACAACGATAGCGGACTGCAACTGTGTGTTACCACTCTGCAGCTCCTGCTCATTGGCCTGTACACTGACCATGCGGATGTAGCAGGAAAGCAGTGAAGAAGAACAACGACATTACATGCAGTGTACAGTGATTGTCACAGCATTGTCCCTCTCCGTACTGTCCCAGGCCAAACACAACATTATAGAAAATCACGTTGAATAATAGGGAGGGTTGGGGAGCTACACGTTTGTGTAATATGTTGGTGCCTAGAGCAAATGTGTGGTAACACAACGAGGGCATATTGCCATGTAGCAGGGAGATACTGCATAGAGGTAGATATGTATCCTCCCAGGATTTCGAAATTGGGCGTGTGGAAATAGTCGGTCCTGTAGCCGACCTGGGGCCGTACCCCCCTCCCCCCCCCCCCCCCCCCCACACAGGAGCTGGCTCCAGGCCTGCATTTAGCACAGCAACGAGCCAAGCTAGTCACTACTGCACCTACCTGTGGTGTTGAAGCTGCAGGTCACGGTACTTCCTCTCGACTTCTCGTGAGGAAGTTCGGTCCTGGAGCGAGGACACGACGAAAGAAGCGATTTGAAGAAATGAAGGTAAACGAAGTAGCATGCGAAGGTTGGATTTGGCTTCGTACTATGGTAGCCAAAGCAGTGTGCGAAGTTAGGATGGGCTTATTGTGGGTTTTGAATGTCAGTTGAGGGTTAGTCAGGTGTCAGGTCAAGACAGCAGGTATGGTATGAGCTTCCAAGTGCAAGGCTTCCTTCTGCAAGTGTTCCCGGAGTTTACTATCCAGGGGCATCGCACACGGTACGGTCACTACGGTATTGACCGTACCACTATTTGCCCCAAGTACCCCGTGAATCAATGAAATGCACGGATTTGGGCTCTAAATTTCCAAACTGTTCGGCTCGGCCATCCCTCCCCCACGAGTAAATTGTACTTCAGATGGCTGACCGTACCACACAAAACTACCTTCCAACGCCCCTGCTATCACAGTTAAGCGAAGACATGTGCGATTTGCGTGTGCACTGCGTCTGTGCGTTTGTGCATGTACGTGTGTCTGTGTGTGCATGTGTGCGTGCTTAAACAAATACAGGAGTGCATCCTTGGGTCACCGTTCTTACCTTTTCCAGCTGTGCTTGGCGCTCTCGCAACTGAGAGACATGTTGCCTCAGCTTTTCCGTGTCCTCAACGAGTCGTTTCTACATTCAAAAAGTAGCAACGGTATGATAGCACACCAGAGGTGAAATAATTACGTGACCACGTGCCAGTGACCGGATCATTGCTCAGCGTGGATGACGAGCACAATTTGGCAGAGCAAAGAATGCTTTCTTAGAAGTAGAATGCTTGAGTGCCTGTTCACAAATTTAATACGAAAACCGTCACTGCATGTCAAGATTCGGTACTAGATCAAGAATACTGTAAAACATGTCATTTTAGGTGCATCAAAATTTCGGTGCCAGGGACCTGCCAGGTTTCAGGTGTAATGTAGAATTAGGTGGCCAGCATTCCCTTCACATACAGTGTATACTCTGGTGCCTTTTAGGTGTAATTTAAATTTAGGTGCTGGTTTTCACTACGGAACATGATCACCGAAATTAAAGTTGCACCGAAAATTACATATTTTACAGTATTGTAATCCAACACGAAACCTGAAAGCCATACACACACACACACACACACACACACACACACACACACACACACATATGTAGGTGTGCTTGTACCAGTGAGTATACCCGTGACGTTACGACTACCGACCTTTTCTTTGTCGGACGCCAGCTGGTGTTGCCGTAGAGAGTCAGTGGTGGCGGCGCACTGCTCCTCCGCTTCTCGTCGAAGCCTGGAGTTGTGCGGGGTTGTGTGGGGTTGTGAAGCAGCAGAATGAGCATGGCATTCAAAACTATCAACAACTGCGAATATAGCTATAATCAAGAATGGACCCGGACTTGTAGTTCCTTGGTCCTTTTTCTTTTGTATAAATAGCTATATCACGCCCACTGTACATTCTCTCAATGCTCTCACAGGCACACACCGGAGCAGGAAATCATGTATATCATAAGTTAAATAGCCATGGTAACGGTGCACAGTGGGGTAGCTTTCACCATAGGGCACTTGATGATTTAGAAGCGGTTTGGACGATTCTTGCAACTTCACATCATATTTTACCAAAGACCACGCGAATTTGAGTTGTGGCCGAGGGTTTGCCCTAAACAAAAAAACTGAGTTCTGGCACTTGAGAACCGTGCGAAATGGCTATAGTAATGAACACTGATAATCTCTTTGTTGAAGTCTGCTGCTGGCCACACACGGGTCGTGCTCTACTTTATAAGGTTGATCAGACACTCATTATTATGCATACCGTATTTTCCGGTTGTAAGTCGACCTTTTACGACTAAAAATAGAAGGAGAAAGGGTGGGGGTCGACTTACAACTGGGATTCGACTTATAACCAGGAACTATCAGTATCTTACAAAAATGACCTGCACTGCATGCACGAGTGCAACTGCACCATGACATGGGTACACATTTTTGCCTTTTTCAAGGATTGGGACATTATACCCTCCAATAAGGAATGTTTACATGATTTGTTGATGTGTTAGTAGCAGGGAGTGGTTAGTAGTGCTTCGTTGGGCGAAAACTTTAAAACGCAGAATTGAGACCTCCGGATACGGGGGTCGACCTATAACCGGTAAAATACGGTACTTCAAGTAGCACTTATACCAAAGGGGGCCAGGGAGGGTAGGGAGGAGGGGGGGGGGGGGGATGGCGAGGCGGCTAAGGGGGCTAAAGCCTGCCGAGGAGCTATATGCTCACCTTTGCTCTTCGGACAATGCCATCTCCTGCTCTATCTTCTCTTGCTCGAGAGCAGCGATCCGTTTCCACTCCTCGTCACGTACCGCCTGCAGGCGTAGACCAAACTCTTTCTCCTGCAGTGGGGTCAGAAGAGATCATCATCACATTGGTTAGTGAACCAAAGTTCAATGGGCCACAGGTCAAAGGTTCACAGGTCATTGGGTCAAAAGGTCAAAGGTCAATGGTTGGCAAGCCAACGGGTAAAATGTTGGTGAGTTGTTAAGTTCAAAAGTTCATTGGCTAGTGTCGTCAAGGGGGTGGTTCGTAACATGGTACATCCAGTTTGACAGGTGAGATCTCCAGCACAGACTATGCGACTGGTGCAATGTAGGCAAAAGCTAAGGTGGTCTCTTTTACGGGTCTTTTACGTATGCCGTCCCCGTCCCGACTGCACGCCCGCAGCTCTTGATACTATTAAAGGGGAAGTTAAGGCAAAAATCAAATTTTCACCAGTTGTAGTCTTCGGGGTGCTGAGTCGAATGGTCTTGGTCGGAGGAAGCGGAGACGCTCCCTTCCTACTTTAATCCCAATCGAACTCGCGCACTTCCACCAAAACTGGGTGACTGCGCCCTACTAGATGGAGATTTGTATGCAAAATGTCACTAAAAGCGCCATTTCGTTCTTATAAAGGCACGGATGACCGCGATTGGCCCATATGTTGTAGTCTTTTGGACGCTGAGTCGACTGGTTTTGGTCCGAAAAGGCTGCGATGCAGCGTTCGGCCCTTATTCCCAATCGAACATGCATGAACAAGCGGTCACGTGCTCCTGCGTACACCAGTCACCTGGTCATCGTGCCTGCTGGGTACAACTTACTAGCCTGTTTGACCTTTTTTGGGTGCAGTCCTGTCACTCGAGGTGAACTCGAGTTGAACCTTGGTGTGAAAGTTGTCGTCTGCTGGCGCTGTGACCAGATGACTTGGGCACGCAGGAGTACGTGACCGCTTGTTCAACCATGTTCGATTGGGAATAAAGGAGGAACGCTGCATCACAGCTTTCTCGGACCAAAACCAGTCGTCTCAGCGTCCAAAAGACTACAACATATGGGCCAATCGCGGTCATCCGTGCTTTTATAAGAACGAAATGGCGCTTTTAGTGACATTTTGCATACAAATCCCCATCTTGTAGAGCGCAGTCATCCAGTTTCGGTGGAAGTGCGCGAGTTCGATTGGGATTCAAGTAGGAAGGGAGCGTCTCAGCTTCCTCGGACCACGACCATTCGACTCAGCACCCCGAAGACTACAACTGGTGAAATTTTGATTTTTGCCTTCACTTCCCCTTTAATTAAAGTACATTAGAACTTCTCTTATCCAGGCACGTCCATCTACGGGGAACCTTTCTGACCCTTCTAGAGTCACAAAATATCGACTTGTCAACGAACCGTGCAACGGCCCCAAAAACTATTGATTTGCAAAAAAATGTTAACTTGCATGGACGTATGCACTATTTTATGGGCAATTCCAAGTTAGGGGAGTGACCGGTCCCGACCTGCCCGTATATGAGAAGGTCAACTGTAAAGGGCTTGATAAAGAAAGTGCACCGTCCAGACAAAATCCCGTAGAAACACCGTCGGGACGTGGTAAGGATGGTGCATGCACATGCACCGCAGAAGATTCTCCTTTAAAGTAGTGAAGTAATACTAATAGTAGTAGATAGATCATGGGCAATGCGTCAGTCTGGGCAGCTAACTTGCCTTCGACCCAAGATGCTGAGTAACTTGTTCCGCAGCAACCTTCTGCTCATCCGCTTGGCACTTCCAGGTGCGCAGTTCAGCAGCAAGCACCGTGCATTTGTCCTCTAATTCAGAGATGGATTGCTGATGTCTGAAATTACAGAAATGCAAAACGTTTCGAGTAATTATGTATTAAAACGGCTGTGTTGCAGTCTACAAACAGTTCAGTGTGCAAAAAACAATACCAAAATGCGTAAACATGAGTGGAGAAAACGGGTAATCGGGTTGTTTTCTTGAAACGGTGCACCCTAGTTCTCCTGCTCTCCACTCTGCAATGAACCGGTACATGCACTTCCCATGCATATTAAACATTCTCACAGCATGCGGTGAAATAGCACACAGCTACGAGATGTACCGCTAAACGCCCAAATGCTCAGTGTTCTTCATAGTGCCATGCCTACCTTCGCTGGATGTCGGCAGTCTCGTTCTTGTGCTGTCGCTTGATGCCGTGAAGTTTGCTGGAGAACAGGAAGACAGACACCACTGATATGTAGTATGAGTACTCAGGCATGGCCGGGTACCGGCACGTCTGGTTAAGATTCTGACGGTGAGAAAATCACTGGCGGTTTTGCATTGCTTCTGGGTTTGGCCTCATGCTACACCAATTAACCCCTACAGCAATTAACATGACGGTCCTTAGATTGAATGCTGTGATTTGAATGTCACAGTATTTTTGGTGTACCCTATAGTGCTGTATTTTTGTTCGTCTCTTTTATACCCAAAGTCTCAACGTGTACAGAAGTAATGAGGGCCGCAGGAAAATGCTTCTCTACACCTACAATTTCTGTCTCCCTAACTAAAGGCTTAAACCGGAAATACTCCCTTACCTCGTCTGCTCCAACTGCTGCGCTTCGAGCTCGCGATTCTGACAGCGTACCTGTTCCTGAAAAGCAAACAAGAACACGGGGTTTGCACACGAGAAGAAAACATTGCGGGCAACAAAGGCAGTTCAGTAGTACGGTGCTGACACGATTATATTGGTTACCTGCCACTTACTCAATCAGTAATACATAATTATATCCTTTAGTTTTCATTCGGCTATCAGGTTCGGCCTCATTTCCTCTGTGCTGCACTGATGAGTCCACAAAGGACGAAACAGTTCTGTCTGCAGATTGAGTATTTCGCTCCTGCTCTTGTAGCAGTTGAGCACTCTTGTGTGGGGTAGTGCCTTTGCTGTTTTCGTTATGCAGAGCTCACTGACTTGTCAGTTTGAGCACTCTGGCAAGGTACGTTTGGGCCTGGTTTAAATCTGGCTTTGGAAATATTATTTTTCATTGCTATCAGGTTCGGCCTCATTTCCTATGTGCTGCGCTGATGAGTCCACAAAGTACGAAACAGTTCTGTCCGTAGATTGAGTATCCTTTAGTGAGTTAGAGTATCCTTTAGTTACAAATGTTTGTGATATGAGTGCGGACTGTAATTGTATTAATCATTGCTATATTGAACACTTATTTCGATGCTATCTCCTAGTTGGTTGCAGCAGTATTAGCACCGACTTGGAAATATCCCACATATTGCCTCACAGTTGTATGTGGGTCAGAAGCACAATGATGTCGCTCGCATAACGTGTTTAATAAGGGTGTAGTTTCCTCAGAGCAATACATGACGTCCAAGTAACTGGCAATCAATGCACCATAAGTGCCATGGATTTCATTAAAAAAGTGCCTCACTTGCTCTGCCCTCAGGTTCTGTATGACCGTCTGCAGGTTGTGTATCTTCTTGTTTGCGCCGTCCATAGAATCCTGTTCCGGACACATGACACAGGGGAGGGGAGAAATGCTATGCAGGACCAGCGAAAGCAGTTTTTGATTTGTCCGGCCATGCCACAGCCGTTCATACGTCGTATACGATATGGCGGGAACACACGACCCTATGTTTAACGCAGAGTCACGGTGCACGCAGGATATGGAGCATAGGCCTGGGTCCATTCACAACTGTCAAAGTTAATCTAGATACAGTCAACATCTTGAATACAGTCAACTTCCGGCCATTAACGACTGTGGATATAACGACAATTTGCGAATAACGACAGAATGTCCATGCCCAGAGCAAAGTCCCATCTAACTATAATACATATAATGAGACTTCAGGTATAACGACACTTCGCGAATGAGGACACTTTCCTGATGCCCCGTCGAGTGTTGTTATACGCAAAGTTGACTGTACTAGCGGCACTATCTTCAAGATCCGGATGGATACGTCACAATCTCCAGACCTACAATGTACTTACCATTTGGCCTTGCATATTACCAACTTCAGGAATAACGACAACTCTCAAATAACATCACTTTTTGCATGCCTAGTCGAGCGTCGTTACTCGCAGCGTTAACTGTAATGCATGCCGGCATCAGTGCAGCTTACAGTGGTAAAACACGCCTTTCTGACACAATTACCGGAATTACCTGGTTCCATGGCAGCATACCTTGATTTTAAAAGCAAATCGGCCTACACTACCAGTGGTGTAGGCTGGTCCATCTTTTAGATGGTGGACAGGACCGGCGGAAGGAGTTTTGACTGGTCTGGCCATACCCAAAGCCTGTCATACTTTGGGTATGACATCATGGAGGCTATACATTACCTAACCAGCAGTAAACACACGTTGGTGGTGAAAACGTTGGTCCGGCCATGGCCTGACCAACTGGATCGGTTCTGCCGCCGGGGTCTGGTGGACCTCTGCCTGAGAGCAGGCATTGAACTGCAATCCCCCAGGCCTAGGCATGGCAGACCCAGCACACGCACATGCTGAACAAACGGGTCTGCAGATTTCAGGGAGTGCGTGACGTGCCCCCCGTGTCCATAAAGGGCAACGCGCCTGACCACTGTAAACACATATTGTGCAAGAAACGCATCGGACTGTTGCGTAATCTTCACAAGGCGTGACCAGGCACTGCATACACTGTGCTAGAGCCGGCTAGCTTAACGTGTCAATTACCAACACCGAGTGACAACCTCGTGAAGGAAGGCAGCACGCATCACAAGGATAGGTAAAGGCTGCTGCCAGGCAGGCACTCGGGCGGAATACCATCTGACACTCAATCCTAACTACAGGTGTTATAGGGGTTCAGAGGCGACTACATCATCAGCTGAGATGCATCGGCAAAGTCGCAGCACAACGCACGCGTGCGATGCACTCGAGATCCAAAAGCTGGCGTCTCACTGTCATGCACATAGCGCCCATGAGGAAACCCCTTCAACAGGCGAATAGCCGCTTTGGGGAATCCCGGCCTTTAAAAATAAAAAATTAAAAATGTACTTCAAGTACATAGTGCCCATGAGCGGCTCCACTGTATGCTAGTACTGTACTTAGTGCTCATAAGCAATTCCGAAATTCTGCTGACTCATCATTATGGCGCCTGAAGGTCGCATACTAGTAACCTCTATCGAGTGTGCCTGCCAATGCAGGGCCGGAGGAAGGAGTTGGGGAGTGGTCCGGCCAACCTTTGAGGGGGGTCCGGGGGACGTCCCCCGGAGAAATATTTAAAATTTAAGTGAAATAGAGCGAATTTGGGCATCTCTAAGGCTCCAGGAAATGCAGAAAATTATAGTAAAAGAACACAAACACAACTTTTTATCCATATCAGCCATACAGTGCCGGTCACGGAGTCCTGAGCTACTTCGAAGCACATCACACGTCGGCAGTACAGTCGAGTCATGTACCTCCTAGTGGATTTTTTTACACCGGTTTTGCACGAATCACATGGACCATCCAGCTGGGAAAGTGGTCCGGCCATGGCCGGACCAGCCTGACCGGTTCCGCCGGCCCTGCAATGACAACTAATGTTAGAATGCCTCAATCAGTATAGTTGTGCCAGGAGTGAATGGCTCGCCTACCTCTGCTGCCTTGAGTTCAGCCTTGACATGTGACACCACAATCTCATGATTCTCCAAGGTCTGGTGCAGCAAACATACAGAAACATCATCAAGGGGGAGGGGGGGGGGGGGGAGAGAACACATGTGATGTATGAGATTGACGCAAAAAAAGGTCTAAGCAATACGATTTAATTGGTAAGAAAGTGGAGTTCCCAGTTGTAGGAGTATCATACTAGTATGCCATAGTGCCATGCAGAATTGACGATATAGAAAATCATGGTACCTTGAAACCCCAGCACAATGTACTATGGGAAGTTTCCGTGGCACTACATAAGTTTCATATAGAGAGGCAGACCAGAGCTTATGATGTCATTACAATGTAGTAATTACGTCATCATTTGATCTGCTTCATGTGTCACGAAACGGATCAAACGATAATGTAATTGTGACAACTCTAGAGCATCAACCCTGTCGCCCCCAACCACCAGGACTAGTATCACCCTGTGTAATAGGTGTATTTTTAATAGGAACGTACATACTCACTATTCGTATTTCCCGCTCGTTCCCCTCAGCAATGATAGAAGAGCGCATGCTCCACTGGTTCTCTAGTCTTGAGTTGTGTTGTCGTTGTCCTGTTCTCCTTCTCACTCTTGCCTACTCTCTTGTCGAAATACTTATTCCATATTCAATACTATAAACCCCCTGTGTTCTGAAACTGAGAGTGAGGGGAGTTCGTTTAGCCGGGAGGCGCGTAACAGTAACACCTGTATGCATGTTGTATGAACACAGCAGGAAACATTCTAAGTCGTAGCTGCAGCATGATGAGCAGTGATTACCTCGGATAGTCTGCTCTCTGCCAGCTCCTCAGTGGCACGCCGCTCTTCCATCTCGTTCTCCATGCTGATCAGCTTTGCTTTCAGCTAAGGCAGCACACAAGCAGGCAGTGAATAGCACATCAACACATAGCACACATTGTAGAGCTGGTCATGCAGGCCAAGTGAACATGATGGGATTGTAGAGCTGGTCATGCAGGCCAAGTGAACATGATGGGATTGTAGAGCTGGTCATGCAGGTCAAGTGAACATGATGGGATTGTAGAGCTGGTCATGCAGGCCAAGTGAACATGATGGGATTGTAGAGCTGGTCATGCAGGCCAAGTGAACATGATGGGATTGTAGAGCTGGTCATGCAGGCCAAGTGAACATGATGGGATTGTAGAGCTGGTCATGCAGGCCAAGTGAACATGATGGGATTGTAGAGCTGGTCATGCAGGCCAAGTGAACATGATGGGATTGTAGAGCTGGTCATGCAGGCCAAGTGAACATGATGGGATTGTAGAGCTGGTCATGCAGGCCAAGTGAACATGATGGGATTGTAGAGCTGGTCATGCAGGCCAAGTGAACATGATGGGATTGTAGAGCTGGTCATGCAGGCCAAGTGAACATGATGGGATTGTAGAGCTGGTCATGCAGGCCAAGTGAACATGATGGTCCAGTTCGGATAGTGCTGGAATAGCACAGTAAACCCAGACAGAGTGCACGTCACACCTTATAGAACTGGCCACGCAGGCCAATTGAACATGCCAGTCCGGCCAGTACAGCACAGACAGACCGTACCAATGTGCACTTTCCACTTTCTCTAGCATAACATACCTACATAATCAAACAGGAAATGTGCAGGCAGATTTCTACACTGACCGAAACAGATCAGTCTAGGTAGTCACACCACCGGTATGTACCTGTGCATTCTCGCGCTGGGTGATGTGAAAGCGTTGGCTGAACTCCGTATTCTCCATCTCCAGACGCTCAGCCGCGGTGCCCTTGTCTTGTTCAATGTGTTCAATCTGATGAAACATGCATATACACACATGCACAGACAGAAGACAGACACACATACATACACACAGAAATGCATACACATACATGCATACCAGTATACACACACAGACACATACATGATACACACAGACATACAGACACACAATAGCAGCAGCGACAGCAGCAGCAGGGACCACAACCTAGGAATGCCGAGTAGCGGTTAGGCGATGATGTCATGATTAGAGGTGCTTTGTATGCAGTGACATCACAAGCTACAATCAGACACCGTGCATACAGCGTCACAAAGTAACACTGTCGTTCTCACCTGGATCCTATGCTTCTCCATCAGGTCAACCAGTGTGCGCTGGTTCTCTTTCTGTAGATCAACAAAGTGTCAAAGAACACAAAGAATCACCCAGTCTTTTCTTTGCTTTGTTTGATGGTGGAGATTAAGATCCAATATTGGTCTGGTATAGGAGCTGCATCTGCGCCTTGATCCTTGAAGGGTGGTGGCGTTCCTACGGATGCGGAATACTCGGTCTTTAGCCGAGTCTGACGTACGCTATGATTTTTTTGGTCTGCTAAACATGCCCAAGGATTCAGCTCTTGCGGCAAGGCTTCAGGAAAGGCCTAAGGGAATGCACATGTCTACCTTTTTTCAGGAGGAATGGACTGGTGGTGGTGATGGTGGTGGTGATGGCGGTGTGTGTGTGTGTCACGGTGTGTGTGTGTGTGTGTGTGTGTGTGTGTGTGTGTGTGTGTGTGTGTGTGTGTGTGTGTGTGTGTGTGTGTGTGTGTGTGTGTGTGTGTGTGTGTGTGCGTATTTGTGCTGTTGGATGGTGCAGTCCCAGCACGAGTTGCTATGTCAAACATAACTTGTTCGCTATCATCAGGGACGAATCTGGGAGGGGTTCCAGAGGTTCATCAGAACCAACTTAATTTTGTAAAAGTACTACTGGCAACCATATGCGTGTCCACGTATATGTATCAGCTATTCATGTTTGACTATACTGGGCCCTGTAGAGATCGCTTGATCCGCCACTGACTGTCATCGGCAGGTGTACACAAGTAAGTAAGTGTGTATGTGTGTGCAGGGGGGGGGGGGGGTACTAACCTGTTCATGGTCCAGCTCTGTCTTGATGAACTGTGCATCATATTGGGCACGGACAAGTTCCCTGAAAACATCAACAGTTAGGGGTGAAACGAAGGTGTCAAAGGTTCGAAGAACCTTCGTTTTCATTTGAAACAAACCTTCGTTTTCAATTCAAAAGAAGGTTAACACACGATTTATGCACACACATGCACTGATCTTCCTTGTATACAGGAGGTACTGTACTGTAGTTTGTACAGTGCACTAGTTTTGTGTCCACTTGGCTCCCGTAGGTGCCATTGCGAGTGCGTAATAGGCCACGGACTGCGATTGAGCGTGGCCATTCACGGCCACTGTGTGCAGAAGAAGTCTTGCGCAGTTGGAGCTTCAAACTGCGCAGTGCAAAAGCTATGGGCGTGCCAATTGTGGTGACTGCAGAGCAAATATAATGCAAAGTCATGTACTTTGTAGGGCACATGCACAGAGTGTGCTTCAAGAGGAACTGTGAACTGGTAAAAGAATCCTTCAACACCTTCGTTCGTTTTGATGAAGAAGGTTCGTTTGGCACATTGAGACCTTCGTTTCACCCCTATCAACAGTACATGTGACAGCTCAGTGACGGGTTGCGCATTGCATAAGATTGCACGACTTCACAATATGCTCGTGGATAAAAACTAGATGACAGACAAACAGACAGACACACTTGTGCACTCAGCTAAACTCACACCTTGTTGGCTGATCTGATCAATTCGGACTTTGCCCAGTACATGCACAGTCAGCATTTGAAGAAAAAAATGAAAAGATCACCCTTTGCTGTAATCCCTGGTGAAGGAATAACGACGATAATGATACGTACGTTTTTGCCTCGCTGACCTCGTCTTGGAGTACGGCTAGCTTCTGCAGTAGACAGCGCAGCATCACACACAACACACACTCCTGGAAACTGGCTGCATAGCATGCACTATGAAACCGGTCTTTGATGACCATAAACACTGTTCACAGGATGGAGGCGCGCATGGAGCACGGGGGGGGGGGGGGGGGGGGTACGTGCACCCCCCCCCCCCCACTAAATTTTCGACCTAGGTTCAGCATGCACATAACGACTACTTGTACGAACGACATGCACCGGCCATCCTACACATGTGCGGCTGTGCGTCACCTAAAAAGCGGATCAGCTACGCCTCTGGGATGTGCCAATGCAGGGATGCTGGCCACCATAGCTCAGCTTACCTGGCGATATTGCGCTCTGAGCTCTTCGGCAACCTCCTCGCGAATCATGTCCTCCTGCTGTGGGGTCATCACCTGCAGAAAACCGGCAGAGATTGGTTTCGTTGGCATTAGGCAATTCTAGCACTTCGCCGGAGTTGGGGAAATAACAAATTGATCAGCGTTCATATCACGTAATCATGAGTGATCACATGCATGCCCCGTGTGCATAGGGCTTGCAAGCAGTAAGCCATACCCCTAGAAAATAGCATGTAGTCGATTTACGGCTTCATGAATTGCATCTTGAATTTGGGTTTGTAGTTTTAGCATGGGTGGGCACATATCTTTAATCAAATGGCTTGTCGAATGCATGTGTGTGTGTGGGGGGGGGGGGACCAAAAAATTCGGCTGGACCTAAGTTAACCACCCTTGCACCGTACCCACCTACATTTGGTGGGAAAATGGAGATATAAAACTTCAATAAATTTGTGACATTTTCAAGAAAACTCTAATAGCCTTAGAGAACTCCAAAATGCAGTCCCCAAGCAGGTTGGGTTGGGCCCGTACCCTGGGTCACATGACTGCAAGTGAAATCCTCCCCCCCCCCCCCAGTCCATGTTCTAGTCCTCTCTGGCGGCCTGGGGCAGGTCAGTGGCCGGCCACCATATCACGGCGGAGTGATTCCGTCAACACACCTGTTGCAATAGAAGGATGTACGGGTGAGATCCGAACAACCAATACCCCCTTTCCGGAACAGTGGCCTGCCACTAAGACCACCTCCATACGGGGAATGACACACTCAAGTCGCTCTTTTCTTTCTACCATCATTATCACTATTTTGGCGTGCCTAGCAATGTCTTACCCGCACACGTAGCTGATCCACCATGTCATTGGCTTGGTCCCTCTCTCGTGTCAGCCTCACAATGGCATCACGTGCCTGTTGGTCGGCCTCCACGTGCTTGCGGCGCTCATCCGTAGCACTCTCCTCCAGCTGCCGATAGTTCTAGCAGCACACAATGCAAGCAGAGATTGCGGCAACCGGCGATGTCTGCTTTAACAAAGTACTTCACTGCAGCATCAAGGAAGTGCCAAGCTTTGGACTAATCAAACAGTTGCCGGGTCAGCTTAGGCCAGTGTGACTATGTGTGGACAGTGAGAGTGCAGGTGAAAGGTGTTGGTAGAAAGGGAATCTGATCTGCAAGACCGCTATTCTGCCTGCACCGAGGCCTCGATTAACTGTGGGTCACAGCACCTTTCTGATTCCAAGCAGAACTTGAATCTGGTACCCTCTGCTAAACTAAGCCTAGAAAGGCAAAGTCATGACCTCAGTCAGTCTATGTCCCACTGTGTCTGCCTACTGTATTGTACGGAGTATAAGCCGCATCATGCAGATTTCTTGTCACGAAATACAGACGTCTACCCAGTCTATACAGTTGAACTCGGATGGTGAGCCAATTTAATCATGGTGAAAAAAGGAGAAGGACAGAATGTTACGAGTTATGACTAACTGTTGGTGGATAGTTAGTCATAACTCGTAATATTTTGTCCAGTTCTCCTTTTTTAACCTGTCTATCACCGCTGCAAGTTTATTTGACCTATGATCGTAGCAGAAGCCGCACTGACCTATTTTTTGGGGGGGGGGGGTGAATTACGAACGTTTAGACTGTGGCTTATACTCCGGAACTAGGGCTGAAACGATTATACCGAATAATCGAGTACTCGTTTGATAACTCTAACGCTTGAGCAATCGTTTAGATTACCGATTACGATTATTTTGCGTTTTTTAAATTTGTGTCCAGAAAGTACTGTAAACCCTCGTTTTGTGAAGTTTGAATCAGTTTCCGCTGGGAGTATGCAGTTGCCAGGGGTATGGTTCATGTTCTGAGGTTAAATTGACTTCAAAACTGCCATGTTTCGGAGCTACCCTTTCAATAATGCAGATTTGTTGGTATTATGAAGGCATAGTTTGTGGAAACAGAGTAATGTTTGCACAGAATTTTGACTCTATTTGCTAACGATTATAATCGATTACTCGATCGTTAAGCTAAAGAGTAATCGATACGTGAAAATCCACGATCGTTTCAGCCCTATCCGGAACATACGGTATGTCTTCCTTCGGCCTCGGCTTTGTCGTGCAAGTGAGTACAGATCTGATACCCTGGGACAAAGGGAGTCCATGCACTAGGTATGGGCAGCTGAACACACATCCAGTGACGCTATCAGCCAGAGCAACAACCCGGGTTTCTTTTACATTTATTACGCAGTGTCAGTATTGTCAGTGGCTACCGGTAATCCGATTTGTTTCTGGTTTTGCGTTCAGTCAGACCTCGCTTATCCGGTCCTCTTATATCCGGATCCCTCGCCATCCGGAAGAAAATAGCTGGTTACAGATTTACAGCATACATGGTGCATCCGACATAACCGGCGTTCGGTTATCTGGTTCCCTCGCCTATCCGGGTGTTTTCGTGGAAAACGGATGGGTGCGGTTAAGCGAGGTCTAAATGTATTCCCGTATAGAGATTGTGGCTCCATACAACTAGTAATGGCACTGGAGTCCATTCTCCTTTTGTCCTCTCTCATCAATCACGAACCTCAACCGAAGTCATCTAGCATCTACAATGGAACCTTCTCCGCTAAGGAAGGTGCAGGCATGGTATTGTATGGGCGGCCTGTTCCAATATAGCCCTCACATCACTGTCATACAGCGCATGACACTGCCTGTAATATGCCGGTGCTGCATCGACTAATCTAGGACATGATGATACATTCAGAGACAGAGTCATTTATTCATACGTGTGGTCGTATCCTCCACCGACGACACAGACACTCAGTCACACACACACACACACACACACACACACACACACACACACACACACACACACACACACACACACACACACAACACACACACACACACAACACACACACACACACACACTGTGATACACACACACGCACACACACACACACACACACACGCACACACACACACACACACACACACACGCACACACACACACACACACACACACACATAATTATTTGTACTTGCTCACTGCCAAAACTGGTCACGTGGGTCTCTCCGGGAGAGGGGAGAAAGATTCAAAAGGAATCTTGGAAAGATGGCTCAATTGGCTATTGAGCCGCCAAACGGACGACACCCCCTGAAATCCCCAAACTACGGGTGGACTTCGAAAATGATCCCACTTATGGGCTCACCACACCGCAGTGACATTTATTCCCGTAGCTATGCAGAAGACGTTACTTCAGTAACGTCTGGCGCTAGCCAGGGTCCACACAGCTTTAATTTGGTGTTTGTTTGTTTGTGTCACGCCTGGCGCTATCCCGCATCTGTCCCGTACCGTACCGTACCATCAAACATAACTAGCTGGCCACTTCTTTTTTTGCCTAGGTCATCAAGGTGGTAGATGATGTCGTATTACCCTCGACCGTATCTGTCCCGTACCGTACCGTACCATCAAAGACGGCTGGCCACGATATTCAAATAGCCCGGGCTTTCAAATGCAAGATCATAACGTGAAGCAACTTGGAAGAATTAGTATGTATGCGAAGTGTATCCGGGGATGCATGCAGGGCGATAGTGCGGGTTCGAATCCCAGGTTATGACTTGAAAAAAATAGGAGAAATATAAAACAATCGACGGGGAGACAATAGTCGTAAAATGGCAATAAATAAGATAAATTGTGCACTCATAACAACAGCAAAATGAAGAAAGTCAAGTTCCATAACGTTTTCTTGTGACTGTCATCAGTGATTTTTATGTGACGGCGTTCCACTGATGACAGTCACAAGAAAACGTTATGGAACTTAACTTTCTTCATTTTTGCTGTTGTTATGAGTGCACAGTTTATCTTATTTATTGCCATTTAGAAATAAAAAAATTATAACATCCCTATGCTTTTTTTGCGTAGGTCGTCAAGGCAAAAAAAGCATAGCGTAGGGCCCTGAGCTTCCAAGCTCTCTCGTAAGTGGGCGAGGACAAGGTCCAGAAAAAGGATTGACGGCATCAGGGTATCCGTCCTGGGATCCAACTGCAGTTACCCCTGCCCCCAGTGAAGGTAACACTTGCTACTAGTGTGGGTGGCTAAATCAGAGTGGATCTGATATAAGTGTCACTAGTCAGAAGCAGTCCATGGTTAACAGGTACAGTCAAACTTCGTTAGGACGAACTTCAAGGGACTGAACAAATTTGTTTGTCTTATCGGGAGTTCTTCTTATCCAGATCTGACAAAAAAATCGATATGCACATCATATGGACTGTATTTATGTGAAGATGCATACTGTTGTACATGGGAAGCATTTTATTCTTAGCATAAGCCAGAAACAGGTAAGTACAATGGCAATATGCAATGAATCATGACTGTGCTGAAAGTTCGTACAACGCACTGATTATTTGTTCAAAACATGCTTGAAAGCAATTTGCACTGCACTGTACGTGCATACGATATGGCTTCGACAATTGAAAAAAAAGAAGAAAAAAAGGCAGCCAGCGCACCCTCGTGGACCGAAAGTTCGTACTACATGTACATGACCACACTGATTTTGTTCAAATCACACTTGAAAATCGTTCGTCTTTGCGAAAGTTCGCTGTACAGAAGTTCGTCGTAAACGAATAATTTTGACTTGAATTGATGCCTGGCCAACCATAGGATTGGCCCGAGTTCGTACTAATGGAAAGTTCGCCTTATCAGTGTTCGTCCTAACGAGGTTTGACTGTATGTATACTTCAAATAGAAAGTATATGAACCCTGAAACCAACAAAGGTGCGCGCGCGCGCGCACACACACACATACACACACACACACACACACACACACATGTAGGCACACTCACACACACACACACGTACACACAAGCACCCCCCCCCCCCACACACACACACCTGTACACGTACACACAAGCACACCCACGCCCATGCACACACACACGCACACACACACACGCACACACACACGCACACACACACACACACACACACACACACACACACACACACACACGCACACACACACACAAGCACACCCCACATGTACGGATACAAACACAAACACACACGGACATGTACACACGCACGCACTCGAAGACAAGTCGCGCGCCGTACCTCCAGGAGTTGTCTCTGTTGACTTCGGAGTATGTCCAAGTCATTGCGCTGCCGATCCCCACGTATTTGCTGCTGAGTCAGTGTTGATTGCAGTCGCGTGTTTTCCTGAAGTTGCGCTAGGACGGCAGGTGAGGGGCTGAATGTGGTCGCCATTTCGCCCACAGCTCGGTTAGTTCCCACCGAACGTGTGCCCTCCGAAGATACCGCACCGCTAAGTCGGTGCCCAATCCCACGAGTCGAAGCGACGAGAAAGAACAAACAGCAGCGACCGAGCCCCGGATTATTTGAATGACTGCGATTTGGTGGGAGTGTGGTATGAGTATGATGACAGTGTGCCGGGGTAATCGTCAGTGACTGTTTACGTACGTGTGAAGACCATGTACCAAGGCAAGTATGGTACTAGTACTGGGAGAGTACTCAGTCTCTAGACTAGTCTGTCTGGAGAGTAGATCTACCAGTAGATCTACCATGGCATGAGTACCACCACATGTACATGACTGTGACGACGTACATAATGAACGTCGTTCTCCTGTGAAAGATGTTTTGAACTGACACCTGGAGACAGCGTAGCTGGGCAACCAGCCAGATCAGCGAGTAGTAAACTACTGGTATTTTACTACCTTCTGCCACTGTCGTGGTCCCGGGGATCCCTGCGACCCTAGCCCTGGGCCTGGCCTGGTGCAGGGGCGGTCGTGGAGTGATGCACCGGGCCGCGGGCCAGCGGCCTGGACTCTGGAGACAAGTCTGGATAGCTGGGCTATGCAAGGCATAGGCCGGGGCGATTATGGGGCAACTCGGTACAACTACAAGATAAAAGGACAGACAGTGACTTGCTCGATGGGCCCATGTCTTGGAATAGTCGACTCGTGAAAGTCACGACGCGCACCACCACCATGTACGTATAGGATATTGCACGGTTCCGAGGGGATTATTTTTCAAATCCCCAAGGCGCGCACGTTGAGGGGATTATGAGAGATTATGAGCCATAATCCCCTCAAACTAGGGGAAATATGCGTAGATCACCTGAAAAGGGTGGTCTATTATGTAGATCTACCACCAACACAGGTGCACCTAGGTACATACTGACTAGTAATAGTATGAATGACATGCACCAGCCACCCTACATACACATGTACGGTCGTGCAGCATCCCCTAAAAAGGGGATCAGCTACGCCCCTGGGCCTAGGGGCTGGGATGTGCCAATGCAGAGATGCTGGCCACCATAGCTCAGCTCACCTGGCGATACTGCGCTCTGAGCTGTTGAGCATGCAACCTCCTCGTGAATCATGTCCTCCTGCTGTGGGGTCATCTTTTTTCTTTCTTTTTCTTTTACAGAATGCACCACCTACTGATAGACCATAACAAAGAGAGGAGAAGAAGAAGACAAAAGAAAATAATGATCGAGACAACAAAGGAGAAAGACAGACAATGTACTAGTAGGGGCTCTCAGGGAGCCTGTGCCGGTGAGGCGGGACTAGCAACGCCGACCTAGGGTGTCGGCGTTAGCGCTATCCAGCGCACCATGGACGGGATTACGAAACACATGTAAATAGATAAGTGAGGGGGAGGGAGTTGATTGTGGATATATGGGGTGTTACAGCGAGTCTGTAGCCCAATACCAGCGGCTTTGTCGTAGGTGCTGATGCACCTTGCCCTTGAACGACTGGAGGGACGTCAGGCGTGGCGGAGACTGCAGCACAGTTGGGGGCAAGTTGTTCCACTCGTCAATGATGCTGTATGGGAAGCAGCGTCGCACGTAATCAGGAGAGGAAGCCGGGAGGACGTTCTGTAGCTGAGACTCGTGGCACACCGAGTGGTCGGACCGAGTTCGAAGAAATGTTCGTGGAGGAAGCTGTGAGGGGACCAGCGACGTTAGTTGCGGTGGCCCTGCCAGACACATCAGGTTATACATAATATAGCTGAGGCCGGCGACCAATCTCCTTGCTGCCAAACTCTGGAGGAGGACATCAGGGCCAAGAATGTGGAGGGCGCGTCTCTGCACTCGATCGAGAAGGCGCAGATGGCTTGAAGCTGCTCCCATCCATACCAATGGCGCATACTCTAGGACTGGCCTCACAAAACCTCTGTAGACGGTTCGTTTACCAGCACCATCGAGTACGCGAGCAGCTTTGCGCAGGAAGCCCAGGCGAGAACTCGCCTTGAGTGCTGTGTTGTGGAGGTGGGTCTTGAAGGAGAGGCCCGAGTCAAATGTGATGCCGAGGAGTTTTACCTCCGATAGCTCAGACACAGTGTGATCTCCAAACGTGAGGTCCATGATAGGCCACCTGTGCCGCTGATGGGCTATCGTCATGAGCTGTGACTTTGTGGGCTCAAACCTGATCCGCCACTTCTTGCCCCAGCCATGGGAGCGCATCCAGGGTGGCTTGTAAGCTTTTCTTACTGTTTGGGAGCAGTTCCGGCGATACAAGTGTAGACCGTTGTATCACCGGCGAAGGTGGCCAGTGAACATCCAGGAGCTAGGCACTGCTCCGCATCGTTTACATAGATGAGGAACAGAGTTGGCCCCAGTATGCTCCCCTGGGGTACTCCCGACTCTATAGGGTAGGGCGACGAACTCTGGCCATTCACAACAGCCTGTAGCCTCATGGTCATCACCTGCAGAACACCGGCAGAGATTGGTTTCGTTGGCATTAGGAAATTCTAGTACATGTACTTCCCTTCACCCGCAGGTCGGCACGGGCATCAGGGTCAGTGTTGGCTGACCAATGGTGAAAGGTTTCACCAGTTAGGGGCTGCAATGGTGGCTCCACCTCCACATCATGATCGAGCTCCTTCATGCACGACGCGAGGAAGTCGGTGGGATCATCTTCTGTCCATGTATTCAAGAAAGAGCTGCGCAAACATTCTTGTCAGTATTCAGGTCTACTCGCTGGCATGCCGTTACCCTGTTCATCGTAGTCCCCCCCCCCCCTTTCCCAATCTGTACTCTCTTGTACCATCATCCTTCAATGCGACGGACCCCACGATAGGCGGTCAGCCTTTGGGTCATCCTAATAAAGTTATTATTATTACTTCTGAAGTATTAATCAACGCAATAAATAGAGTAAGCTGCGCACTCAGTACAAACACCATTAGCAAAACTTGTTTTCATGTAAATAAAGAAGCTTGTTCCTAAACGTTTTCGTCGCCATCTCATCAGAGGATTACTGGCAAATCAACATTAGCTCTAAACTCAATATAATATATACGCACAATGCAAGTAATAATTTAGACCCTAACCAGCGCGAGAAAATGAGAGCTGAAAGAAACATTACATCAATCAACGATATCAGGTGACAACTGATGCGATAAATTCACCACTAGAAAGTAACCATGCAACCACAAACGAGAACTACTGATCTAAATTCACAAACAATTTCAACGTAAACAAATTCTTTTTCTGCCTACACAAAATCGGCTTGGTGGTAAAAATGTAGATAGACTCCAATACACGCAAATACCTTTGACTACGTGAACGAGACCAAACAGAAAAGCAATCATCAGTATAACTAGAACGACAATCACTATTCTGAACAAGATGGTTATCAACAGAAGATTCATACACCCTAACACCACTACTAGAACCAGTACATACTTTGGAATTACGTGACAATGAAACCGACCTGACATTCCTTGCCGCTACTGCCAATCCAGACGAGGCCGATGTAGATGTCAGTACCAAAGGCACGTCCGTTAATGGCACTGCCTGCTGCGATGATGCTCCCTTTGACGTTCCAATGGCTGTTGATGTTGATGAAGAGGAGGAGGGAGATGAGGAAAATACTGACGACGACGATGACGACAACGACGGAGACGATAAAGACTCTGCCAACCTCGCCCTAGAGCGAGTCACTGGTCCCGCAGACACACCATCCGGTGGTTTCTTCGGTGGCCGGCCACGCTTTTTGCCACCGGAGGTGGACACACCGGATGACGGTACCAAGGAAGTCAAAGAAGACGAAAACGCAGATACCAACGATGATGACGGGATAGAACGTTTAGGAACAAGCTTCTTTATTTACATGAAAACAAGTTTTGCTAATGGTGTTTGTACTGAGTGCGCAGCTTACTCTATTTATTGCGTTGATTATTATTATTATTGTGTCGCATGTGGATGAACCCCGACAGCTTGCAAATTTGGGCATGGTCAACTGAAAACCTTGAGCCACAGGGACTGGATGCTGGCAGGTAACTGGTTGTCCAGAGGCCAACAGTATCGGAACCGGATATGATCGTGAAAGTCAGCTTTCACATCAAAGCTGAAACCGTGCTCAGCCAGAGGGACGGTGGTCAGGGTACTGGACCCGCCCTTCTCGCGTGCCAAGGACATTGCTCGCTGTTGTGGCTGCGGCAGGCGATCTTGGATGGCGATCGCTGTTGCGTCCAGTACTGCGCGGTGGCGAATCCGCACTGCTGATTTGGTTGCCTGGTCCAGCCGAATGCTCTCCAGCAACTCCGATCCGCCTGTAGCGATCTGAGCTGCGAGGTGGGTGGTGCACTCCAAAGACGCAGCGTGCTTGCGCGGAAACGGTCCTCAACAGGGTTGTCGAAAGACAAGCCTCCATGTCGAGCAGGCAGAGCCACCATCTCCATCTCCAAATCGCTCAATTCATGCTTGGTTAGGTTTGTGAATAATACAGTGGTCCCTCTATAATCCGGCACCATTTGTGCCACTAAAATCTGCTGGATTAGGGAGGGTGCTGGATTAACAAATCCGATTTACTGCTGCAATGACTATGTGCATGAAGAGGACATTTTGGCTACTGAAAATTGTGCTGGTTTATCGAGGGTGCTGGATTATAAAGTGCCGGATTAGAGAGGGACGACTGTACTAGTAAAAAAAGAGCTTGCAGTAGACGGTTGCGAATAGCATCCTCACAGTAGAGGCTGCATGTGATCACCAACAAGTGGGCATAGTGCGTTGGAGGAATGTCCACCGAAAACGAAGACGAAAGCAGCAAATGCGGCGTGAGGAGGTGTAGCTGGCAAGTCGCTCAATCATTCCATGCTTGAACTTTTGCCTCCAGGCTCCAGTCCCCCTGCCCCGGCCCCCAGGAGTCCAGATGTACATGACTGTACATCTACTACATCCGGCGAGAGAGAGCTTGCCCAAATCACCACCACACCCGCCGAGGTAGAACAGCTCCTAGGAGCCCTTAATCCTTGCAAAGCCCCTGGGTTTGACGACATCCCAACAAGACTCCTCAAGACCACGGCGCGTGAGCTGTCGCCGTCACTCTCCCGACTTTTCAATGAGTCATTTCGGAGAGGTGAACAACCACAGGACTGGCGTGATGCCACTGTAAGCCCACTATACAAGAAAGCCGAAAGGTCATTGGTAACAAACTACAGGCCTATATCACTTCTGAGCGTTATCAGTAAAGTGCAGGAGAGGATCGTCCACAAGCGACTCTACAAGCACGTCACACCCTTCCTCCCAGTGGATCAATCCGGTTTTCGTGCCAATGATAGCACCGAACTCCAGCTCGCCAGACTCGTGCACGAGGTTTCCGAGAGCCGAGATAAAGGTCTTTCCGTCACAGCTTGCTTTTTCGATCTCTCGAAGGCTTTCGACAGAGTCTGGCACGCCGGTCTCCTCAAGAAACTGCAACACCTCGGCCTGAAAGATACCGCCCTACAATGGATGGTCAGCTACCTCACCCATCGCCGTCAACGTGTTCGTGTCGGCGACGCCTTCAGTGAGTGGCAAGCCATACCAGCAGGGGTGCCCCAAGGATCCGTTCTAGGCCCCCTGCTGTTCTTGATCTACACCATTGACCTGCCCTCTGCCTGCACCAACTCGAACACAAAGTGCAGCCAATTTGCAGATGACACGGCGCTCATCGCAACACACCAGAGCCGTTTGACATCGGAGTTGTCCCTGCAGTCAGCCGTTTCAGCTGCCGCAACCTGGCTGCGCAGATGGCACCTCCTCGTCAATGCCTCAAAGACCGTTACCTTGTCGTTCACACCAAACCACCAACTCAACATCACTCTTAATGGCACACCCCTAAAGCAAGTCAAAGAACACCGTCACCTTGGAATCATACTACAAAACAACCTCCAATGGAACTCACATGTCACGCACATAATAAACAAATCCAAAAAACTCCTTCACCAACTTCGTAAAACACGAGGCCAACTTAACACCCCCAGTCTGCTCGTAATCTACACCGCCTACATTCGCCCGGTTATAGAGTACGGCAGTCTCGTGTTATCCAACACCACCCGCACACAGAAGGACCAATTAGAACGCGTTCAGCGACGAGCAGCCCGTATCTGCCTGCGGATCCCCCTTTTTGCACCAGTCCATCACAGCTCACTTCTTCATCATCTCCAACTCCCCACATTAGTCTCCCGGCAACTCTTACGACAGGTTACTCTTGCCCACAACATCAAGTACATCCGCGCTCCCCTTCACCTGCAACAGCCTCACCTTGCACGACCAATCACAGAGCAGCCATATGCACTACGACACATGAGAACATACACATTGAGAACATCACACACATACCGACACACCAACTCACCCATCAACCTATCCCTTCACAATTTCAACCAACTACCCCCCGACCTGCGTGAAACAAATAGCAAGCATGCGTTTAAATCAATGGCGTCTAGCCTCATTCTATCATCCATATGCTCCTGTAGTAGCTCACACTGTACCCCATCGTGACCCCATCCCCCTGCAATGTGTTGATTTCCTTACTTGCTAGACTGATTTTATATGATTCTGGACTGATTTGAATCATATTATCTTCCTTATTGGCCATGGGCCATCGTGGAAATAAAGAATAATAATACTTGCGTCAGTGACTGTCCGGAGACGTGACAGGCGGCGCTCGTCTGTCGTTCGATCCCGCGGGAATGACTTTGCCTTTGGCGGGAAAATCCAAACAAAAGATTTTTTACCATTTTGCTACTGAAAAATCACCACATGACTCTGTACTGTACATGTACATGATGTATACTGTAGGCTGTGCGATAGTAATAGTAGACCTACCAAGTACCAGATCGATGCCGATGGAACATGTGCAGTGCATGCACAGCCCAGGTAGTGAGGTACTGCATGCATGCACATAAATTCATTGTAGATCTACGGCATGTGGAGCCTGGCTGAGGTCATGAGCCGGTCTGACTCTGAGTGGGTTTTGTCCTGGATAAATTTTCAGTGGTTGTGAAGTTGTGTTCTATCAATATTTTGATAGTCATCGATCGCAGGAGTTTGTCTTTGCTGGCTCGAGGCAAATGCCTGACGATGGCGGGCGAGACATCCGCTGCCATTCGTCAGTCGCTGATAGAATGCCTGGGTGGCATATTGTCACCATCACAGGAGATCAGGAACGCAGCCGAGGAGCAATTAAAAATGCTTGAGACCACAGATGGTAAGCAATTCAAAAACTTTCTCAAGATGCATTTTATCTCTGTCGCCCTCAGCTGTTTGTTCGGGCTTTGGAGAGGAAGTGTCAGTTCGCGTTAGCACCGTGCATGCGCATTGTCTCGTTTTGACATAATTATCGTGTGTTCTCTCTCGGAGGGCATGTGGAGCTTGGCTCCAGTGGGGCATCTGTAGTTAGTTTCTCGTAGCATCATGCCCTGGGTGCCTTGATCTCGATATCCGCGTACCAATGTCATTGATAACTTTGGTCACAAGTCCTCCGAAGACACGCAGGAAATGCAACTACTAGTAGTAGTAGTACTTAGGTGCGCCGCGTGGATCGTTGGGATGAGCACTGTGAAGCGAATCATGTCCTGTTCAGTGTTATGTTTTGTTGGTAGTAAATTTATGTAGCTATCAACTCATTACCGAGTTGGTCAGCACTGGGCTGCCATTGTGGTGTGTAATAATACGTAATCTTAGTTTCAATGGGCGGGCAAATTAATGCACTTCAGATTTGTCCATTCATTTAGTGCTTGTTGAATGGCCAGATCTGTGTGGCCGATAGCTACAATGTGTAGGGCTAGGTCTGCAGTGTGCATGTGTGTGCATGTGTGTGCTCGTGTGTGTGTGTGGTGGTGGTGGTGTGTGTGTGTGTGGTGGTGGTGGTGTGTGTGTGTGTGTGTGTGTGTGTGTGTGTGTGTGTGTGTTTGTACTCAGTTACAGTATGTGTATGTTTCTGGATGTGTGTGTGTGTGTGTGTGTGTGTGTGTGTGTGTGTGCGTGTGTGTGTGCGTCTCGCTCAACGAGAAACACGTGACCTACATGGCAGTGTATACCAGGACCAGGTGTGTGCGTGTGTGTGTGTGTGTGTGTGTGTGTGTGTGTGTTTCTGCATGTGTGTGTATGTGTTCAAATTCGCAGTGTTAATCTTCCTTGCACATACTTTGTAGTAGAGAGGTTGTGCACAACTGATATTCGCCCGAAAACCGATTCCCCAAACGAACGAATGATGTAGCGTTCTCCATACACCAGTCATGCCTTTCGAAGCTTATCTTGTTCCCTGCGAAGCCGTCCTTATTTACCAAGATGCCATAGCGCTGCAAACAACTACTTTTGCCATACGGGTAGTCTCCATTCTGTACCCCCCCCCCCCCTTCCCCGAAATACAATGATAAAGTGCACTTGTACTGTAGCTGCTCCGTAAAGGCACAGGACATTGTGTGCCCCCTTTCAGGGTGGGGGGGGGGGGGGGGGGGGAGAACCCACAACCATCTACTACTGAAATACAGTACAAGCAGAAGCATTCGTTGGGGAGTTTAGTTTCGTCGTTTTCATCCAAAGAGATTTTGGACTAAAGTGGACGAAGGACTAAATGTCGGTTTGTCTAGCCTATCAGTGCATTTCCACATCTGCGGCCGAAAATTTCAAGCAGACAAACTGTGTTTCTTTAGAGTTGGGCGAAATTCGCCGACAAACTTTTCTTCTTATTATAGTAGTGTATTGTAACAGGAAATATGCTAGCAGCTCCAGTCGACACAACAAATCAAACTCACTCCTTCTGGACTAACCAAGAACTGAGGGGAAACCCTCGTCGTGGCCAGCTTCATATTTCAGAATAAATGCAGGGAGTCATATTCGACTCCCTGCTGTGTTCAGAGTACGGTGTGGGAGGTAGAATAAGGATGTGTAGAAGTGAAGATTGTTCCTGAAGGTGGATAGTGTGTAGAGAAATAGTTGTCCATTATGCATGAATAATAATAAGTAATTCGGGGATCACCATACAGAGCATGCAGAAAGAGTGTAAGTAATTATGTGATTGGAAGGCCAACGGAAATGGGAGAAGCAGTCTCTAAGACCATTCCCGTCACATGTACGTATAGTTGCCGGGGACAGGTTGGTATGATTTTCAAGTTCTGGGGAGTATGTACATGTACTCTGAGCCTAGCTAATTGAAATTTGATTTACTTCCTTGTACTGTTTGCTGTTATCTTGTGACTGTGCAGAGTTTGGTGTATATTTAACGGAATTTACTATCAGCCCGGAGAGTGATT